AGCACACAGAGAGACCTAAGTTATCAGTGCTTTGCAGGCTGGCTGTGGAATTTTCGAATGACTTGTGAGATTGCTTTAGTGTAGTGCCATTCAGGCGCTCTGTCCTGATGAAATTGTCACTTCAGTTGTGGAACTCAGATTCTTGTAAATGTTTTTCTTTAGAACAAACGAAGGAACAACTTGCTACCTAACTGAGATTTTTTTGGGGGAAATGTGGTATGTCATGTCATTGCATCATAAACTGCTGAACATGATGTCTATGCTAGAAACAGCACTGTCTCTTTTGTTGAACTGATGCTGCTCACTGACTTACTGAATGTCCAAAGAGATACTTGTTGTAGAGGAAACTTCTGTGTAGCATGCAGTGGAGTCACCGACTCAGGAAGGAGACACGGGAAGAGTCGGAGCTTTGATGTCAAACCACTGTGATTTATTTGGAGTTGGTACCAGAGTATTCACATCACAAATCCAAGAGTCAGAGGTTCTGACTCCACGGTAGAGTTGCTACGTCAATTCTGGAGAGCCTCTCTCTTGCCAGCCCATCTAACTGGTTTTGCAGAGAGTAAACAACATATTTGAGGAGATAGCCTAAACAGTGTGGGAACACAGAGCTACTTGCCTCGGACACTTATGACCTCGAAGATTTTACCTTGGAGTCCACAAATACAGAGAAGGAAGTGTCCCAGTGTACCCACAACACAGACCATCTGTATCCCAGTATTGACCGGTCACAGAATGGGAACAATAACATTATTGGCTAAGCCGCCTGTGTCCTTAAAGAAGGTAAACAGACATCGAGGTTTGTCCTGTATGTTACTAATTGGCGTCTTATGATAATTATTTCCACAACACTTGTGGTAGTTTAGAATGCCAGGAATGTCGTGGCTAATTGATTAAGTCAGCGGAGGGTACTGGGTTTTCATGCTGTTTGCGTTCTAATATGTGCAACCATGCTGTCATTTGTAAACACATTCTGAAGTTAACTATGATTTGTTTTCCATAAGAGACAGGGGAAGAACTATGTTTATATATTGCTAATCTTATCCATTCCTACAATGCAATCTTAAATGAATATTGTGTAAAAAACTTGGTTATAGCTTCATACCACACATTTCTGAAATATTTATCGACTGTGGTGCAATACCAGTCATTTGTCTTTTGGTGGTCGAAGGCATGGCAGACACTAAGTGAGTGTTATCTAGTGGTGCACGATAATTATCGGCCCGATAATTATCGGTCCGATATTAGGAATTATGACGTCATCCCGATAAACCCGATACCAGTATTAATAGCCCCGATAATATACAATATATTTTTTGGGTGAAAAAAATACTGCGGTGTGGGTGGATTGGGATGAGGGGCGCTTGTTTTTTACTCGGCTCCTCCCGTTTTGCCAGTACTGTGGTATTAGTGGTTTAGGAAGAGGGGAGTTCTTCACAAATCCAGCGCTCCCTAACTCATGCCTGGCTGTGACGTAAATGGTGTGCGGCCGTGAAGCCAGGACAGTAAACAAACATGTCGCCGGTAGTATGGGACTATTTCAAAGTTTCAGAGTTAGATAGTTCGCTTGCTATTTGTATTAACAAATGCAATGCAGAAGTTCCACGAGGAGGGAAAAAGGCAACGAGCTATAATACTTCCAACCTGATTAGTCTCCTGAAACATCGCCATCGCTACGATGGTGTGTTAAAAGCGTATGAAGACGCCTGCGCTGCTAAACTAGCGGCGAATCCAAAGCCAGCTGCAAAGGCACCGGGGCTTTTACCTATCGACGAGGCTTTTAAAAAAGGCAAGAGGTTTGCCAGAGACGACCCCAGGGCTAAAACGATCTCTAACTTCATCATAGAAATGATGGCGCTTGACGAGAGTCAAAACTGTTCTTGGCTTTGTTTTGTTCATAGTAAATAAATGCTCATGTCATTTGCTCACTACTAGTCTTTTTTTTACCACCAGGTGTGCAAAAACTACAGGTACATTTAATATATATATATATATTATATTATTATCGGTATCGGTCTTGAGAAGCAGGAAGTTATCGGTATCGGTATCGGTTTCAAAAAACCAATATCGTGCATCCCTTACAGCTTTTGCACAGAATATGATTTTCTTCAGCAGTAGGAACATAATTGGCATGCAGCACAGGTTTGTTCACAGTCTGACCAATTGTAGCTGCAAATTGAGAGTAGCCATTTCCATAGAGCAGACAATTATATTTTACTTGAGCAGTAAATGACACACGCACACTCTTTACTGTAAATACACATAAACTCACTCACATATTTTCTTTGGTGTTGTTTTTCTGTTGAACTATTGTTGCTATTGTTCGAGTCAAACTGGGAGTTGGCCTCGCTCACATCCAGGGTGGAGAAGCAGTTACATCAGCTGAACTAGTGTTAGCCTCCATTTCATACATACTGTACCTCCATGAAAATGTAATTTATAATATTAAATAATATGTTTAAATTGAATATTGCTTTAAACGGTTATTTTGTAGCTTTATATGCTGACACAGAGACCCATATTCTTCCAAGATCAGATCATTTGTGGGAGGTTTAATACTTATCCTTACAATCAGTTAGAGGTGCAGACATATTTCTTCCATAACTCCAGATGTTTTATCCTCTTCTCACCCTACAGCTGCCCTTAGTCAGTATCCCACAAATCATCCCTTGTCCAGCCTCCCCTCCCACCCGCCTGCCCACATTTCCAAACTTGATGTGTGGAGCCCTGTCAGATCCCTCCATGCTCTTCCATGTTGACAGATTCTCTCTAATGAGTGGGAGAAACTATCACTCATCTTCTGACACTCGCAGTCAATCCAACATCCTGAGTTAATCGTTTGTTTTCCTTTCTTAACTCATTCCCCTAGCCGATTCTCCTCGAGGCATTTTCACTCTCAAGACTTGTTTTCACGTGACTTCTCGTAGTGGATACGAAACTGTGCATATGCCGTATCACTTTACAAGGTGGTTGTGTGGAGATGGGGTTTGAGGGTCAGCTGTGTTGAACCCCCATGTGCTCATGTCACTGGAGAACTAGAGGAATCCCAGTTATGTACAGACACTAGTAATGTTTGCACGCAAGGATGCATGCAATTACAGGGGCACATTAATATAAGATCAGCTAGATACATGCATCTCTACCTGTCCATAGCTAAGGGCTCAATATCCTCTCGGTAGTGGGGCCAGAAAAATGGCACGTTTGATTAAATAATTTTGCTTCTATGACCTAACTAATATTTAAAATCAACTGGAGAGTCCTTCAGTCAATCAAGAGTTGTCGTTATCTTAGGACTCAATCATTCTTATCTTCCGGATGTGGCAAAAAGCTCAGCACAATGGTTGTGTACAGTGATTAGAACATTTTGAGTTTTGTAATGACGGCATGCTTTCAGTCAATGTGAGGAATGGAGGGGATAGCATGTGTCCGCTCAGGGAGTGCTCCCACTGGGAATCTCAGTCATCTCAAACCATATGTCAGGCCAGAAACAGAAATTCTCAAGCAATTGTGTGTGGGAGTCAAGATCACAGCCAGCCAAACTAGGCTTTTGAGACATAACATGTGTGTTTGTGAGTGATATTGTGTTCAGTGCATCTGAAAGTGCCTTTTCATAACCCCATCACTGAGCTGTGTTGTTTATGATTGGTCTTCCTCAGTTTGTTTTGGTCCAATGTTTTTTAAATCTCCTGCATGTGTGTGTGTGCATGCTAATGTTGTTCACAGGGGCCTTTGCCCATGTGTGTCTGTGTGTGTGGCACTCACACTCACAGTGATCCATTCATTTGTGGCCTGGCACCCAGATAGGGGGTCTGCTTGAGAGGGACAGAGACTGAGAGAGACTGTTCGGACCCTGCACAGTGACTCAATGCTAGCTGTCTGCCTGGCACAGATTAGATCAACACTAATGAATATTCAACAGTTTACCATCACTGCCAGAATCTCCTACATCTTTACCAAAGTGAGAGCTGGTATTCTCCCCCACATTGTCCAAAAGAGAAGCTTCTTCTTAAGGACTTACATTGAAAAATAAATCAACTTTTCAGAATGTTTTGGTCTGATGAAAAATAACTAACTAGCTGGATAACGGCATCTACTATATCCAGGACCATTTGTTTTACTTAAGTCACAAACCAGACTGACCTCAGTTAACTTTGTGATCCTTCTTAATGATTTAAGCCCCTTGTGTTAAAAGTTTTGATTTTCAGAAACATTTTCATAGAACCTAGGTTTAAAATTGATATTCATGTTTCCATTAGTACCTGGAGGCCAGTCTTAACATTATATCCAAAATGTGTTCGGTTAGGTAAGATCTTTAATGTTTGGAGCACAGCTTCCTCTCCAATCCTAAACACATGTTCTCCACACAAAGACAGGAACTGTGCTGATCTAAACTATAGCTGACCGGAAAAGTGTGTTTGGTTTAGAGTTCAATGAATGTCTGAGGAGTTAAAGGGCATGCTTGATATATGCCTCGATAAAGACAAAACCAAGGATCAATTCACAGCTGGCCAAAGACACTGAATGGAACTTGATAAGAATGAACTACTGAACATATCTAGACCTTCAATTGAGGCGTATTTTAAGATTTTCTCTGTTTGTATGGAGTGTAGGAGTAGATTGGTGAATTGGAAAAAGCACACACTTATATACATGTGTGTTGATGAGTAATGATGTCTGTATCCCTGTGCCAACCCCAAGCCATGCCACTTGTAACCAAATGCAAGCCTGTAGGTACTTCTTATATGCCACTAATTGTAAGTGTATGTGACAGCGGTTTTAAAATGTGTGCTGTAAATGGAGGGATAGAGGGGGATGTGTTTATCACACAGTGCACTTACTTTTTACTGGAATCTGCTCTAGAGTGTAGAGCCTGCGTGAAAGACTGAACGATTGCATTTTTAGGACTTCATTAGTGTTTATGAAATATTTAAGTTTTTTTGACAAAAACAAGTAGTCATAGATCCCTGCCTAAACCCTTCCCTCTCTCTTCCTCTCTGCAGGATGGTTCTTTGGGCAACATAGATGACCTTGCCCAGGAGTACTCTGAGTACTACAACACCTGCTTCAGTGACGTCAGTGACCGCATGGAGGAGCTTCGCAAAAGACGAGTCTCCCAGGAGCTTGACATGGTAAAACTGCATGCACACAATAAAAAAACTTGTTTTGAGAAAACTGCAAATGGACAACATCGCTTTGGACGGATTGCATTTTTTTGTTAATAGTTTCTCCTAAATCCTTATTATTGGTTTAGTCCCAGATCTTTGCACAGTGTAATTTATTTCCACAGTGTTAACCAACAACTTGGCTAGAAACAACTGTAGCGGAACAAACATGAATGTGTGCTAAGGTTTAAGACTTTCCCCAAAGCCAGTATGCCTTTCTGAATATGAATGCTGTGGTGTTCTGGGGGTCCTTTGGGGGGGGGGATATAAGGGTCTTTCACAAGGATGTAGGGTAGTGGGGCACCCCTTTGGTTGCCATGCTGCAAACAAATGTCTAAAGGAATGTTGCTGGACAGAGGGCCTTCAAGCTTCAAGCAGAACACTATAGGTCCACAAATGCAAGAGTTGAGTGTTATGCTAACTTCATAATTACTCTATGACTTATTCATAGTGAATTATATTGACACTTGGTATTTGTAACCATTTCTAAAACATTTCAATACAGAAAACCCCACTTATTCTTAAAAGGCAGGCTCTACAACATTGATCTGCTTGAAAGAATGTCCATCCTAAATCAAATGAGGCAGTTTAGCGTCACAAATATAATAGAACTGCCTGAGGAAAAAAGGATTCAGTTCGCCCTTCAAAGATTTTGCTTCCGCTGATATCACTTTACCTCAGCCTTTCTTATTTTAGCCCCTGTCAAAATCTAATGTTCTCTGCTCATATATTTATGTCTGTCATTACTAGTTAAATAGGAGGCCTCTTCGTTTCGATGCAGCCATGTGGTTTTGGTTGGGTTGACAGGTATGGCTAGGATGAATAGCTGATTTATTGTGCCCATCCTTTAAAAGACTGCAGGCAGACATCCCATGTTCACAGTCTTCAGGAGTCATTCAAGGCAATTTCACTTGATAGTCCAATCACAGATGTCAAATTTTGTTCACAGTGCTTAACAATCTATGCAGCATAAATGTACTCTTGTATCTTTTGACCACCCCAACAAAGAAAACGGTTGCAGGATGGATGGCAAGTTATTATAAAAACATAGCGGTGTATATGTAGATATATTTTGCGTTTATAGGTTGTATGACCTCTCTCTGTGTGGCCGTTGAGTTTACATTAATAAGGATTACTTCTGGACATTTTATAGTTTGAAAGGGTTTTACCCTCGGGAGATAAAACAGGGGGAGAGGAAGCAAGATTAAGATTTTGCATCTTGAGTGTAAGAAGAGAGGATCAGAGCTGACTGGGCTCTGAGCCTGAAGCCCAGGACAGGAGGAGGATAAGGATGTGAACAGAGGAAGACGAAGGATGAGCGGATGAAGAGAAGGAGCGGAGAATGTAAGAGCCTGCAGCTGTCCCGCCACTCAGCAAAGTTTGGCACCAAAATATAGGAGGTGGAGGAGGAGGGAGAAAAAACATGAAGAAGGAATATGGGTCAGGCAACACCTTATTGAGGGCTCTCAAAAGGAAAGTATCAACCTACGTTATATGGATTGAACTTGGCCCTGCATTCCATTGCAGTCCTTTTCTAAAATTAGGTTTTGGGTATTTTCAAGTGTAAAGCAGCCTTTTCTATGTCAAAGATAAGAGTAGGTTGAGACGTGCCTGCTCTTAGGCAGTATTTTTCCACTGGACTTGATTTCTTCATGGATGGATAGGCTGTGGCACAGTATCTGTAAAAATAGAAGAAACATTTGAGACAGACAGAGCATGAGAGACCAAGGTGAAGTGAGAATAAGACCCGCCAAATGGAGAACCAGTCAGAAAGAGAGTACCGAATGACTCGTGAAATCAGAGGCCGCAAGCCAACGTCATGCAGCCTCTTCCCTTAGGAACAATCGCAGATGGTTAGAGAAGGTCACAGTGTCCAAGAGCCACTTTAATGGGGAGACATTTAGCAAGTTGCACTCCTGAGGGACTTGCCCTTTAGGGAGGGACCTGTCACTTGTAAAGGGTAAAGGAGGTGGGTGACGCAATCATATATCAACAAGACCTACTCCCTCGCCAGCCATTGTCTTTTTTCTAGCTCCAATTGTATAGGTCAGATCTGTCTTATTTTCGACGGACACTTCTAATGCCTACGTATATACACTTCCAAAATCACTTTTTGCATCACGAAGGAGTCTGTCCAGATAACGGGGGCAAAGTTCTCCTCAGCTTTTACCTCCTACTGGTCTTTACACTCAATATTAAGAATGAAAGAGATGATGGACAAGGGGGTAATGCCATAAGAGGGGAGTCTTAGTTTGACATATCACAAAGTCTACATATTTTTTCACTTAGCTGACACATTATGCAATTTTCTTTTTAAAGAATCCCACAAAAAAGCACCAGTATCTATCGGTTAACTGTGGTCAGCATAGAAAGGGAAAGAAGGAACTCAAAACTGTTTCTGTTCTTCAAAACTTACGAATATTGTCTCTTGAATTAAGTTTTTCTTTCTTTCGAATGTTAACTCTTCTTTTCGACTTGAGTTTTTGTTTCCTTTCTTAAGAAACTATCTTGCAACACTAACATTTTACAAAAATCTCCGGCGATTTCAAAATGTGTATTTGTTTTTACTTGCATAATGAGCCTGCCAGCTCTTGAGGGGCCTCTTAATTGACAAAGTGATAGCTGTCTGTTGTTGCAAACTGCTATTAGGAGGTGATGATCGAGGCTCTTTCAAGAGATGACTATCAATGTGCCCACTTCCTGGCTGGATTCTGCCGAGTTGTTCCTATCCATCTTCATGTTAGTTTTATAGCAGGGACACAAGGGGGTGAATAAACATCCCCTTAGCGAATGAGTCCTATGGATTAGCGCTACCATGCACAGTTTCCCAGCGCTCCTGTAGACAAGGAAAGTTTGCATGACTCTCTGGCACACTGATTTGGTGATACACAGAGCTTATTAGTGGAGGTGATCAGAAGTATTCAAAGAAAGCAAAGAGTTCAGCAACTTTGACAAAGCATGTTTTATCAAATGAATGGTCAAGCCAATTGAACAAATTGATCAATAGCTAGATCCATAACGAAAGTTTAATTGTATTGTTGTTTTCTTTCTTTGCCTATTTCTGCCACTGCAGGTGAAAACATGCCAAAACATGAACATAAAAGCGACAACAGAGGTTGCAGAAACTGGTCGGCAGTGTGAATTATTGTGTATAGCCTAAGGAAAAAACATCAAACAGAATATTAGCGTGTCTCTCAAACCACAGCTATGGAAAAGATGATGTAGATCAAATATAGATCAAGATAGACTATTTGGAATTTGTGGTTGTGGGGCAAAGTTTTAGACATTTCTACACGCTGTAAATCATAATTTATATTGCAACAGTATCTGTGGTTATTTCCCTGGGAGTAATGTTTAAGTTGTGGATAAACAACCAGGCCTTGAATATTGCATCCTTTGACGCTTTGGCCAAAATCCTTAGTAGTTGGTTTCACTGTTGGCTTCATAATTGAAACACTTTTGAAATGCCTCAGCTGGTGTCTGATTGATGTGCATGCCTCAGGAATGCTCTGTAATACTGTTTTCTCGCCTAGTAGCTTGATATTTGGGGGTCAAGATTATTTTGTTTAGCCATGAGGCGAGGAACAGTGTGGTTAATGTGCTAAGGCCTGCGTGAGGTTTAATCGTCAAACTGGGTCAGTTCAGCAGGGTTAAAACTACAGTGTAGAAGAAAGACAAACTGTTGTGAATTCTGCTGTATATTTTTCCTCTCCACCTTCAGGCTCTTGCCTAGAAAACATAGCAACTAATCATGCTCAAACGACAGCCTGTGTGCTATTAGATTACTCAGAAATGGTGTTGGAATTGCTCCATTATTGCCATAACCCTTGTTGAAAGCAAGTGGTATATTTGTAATTTATTGATGTATGATTTCAACACTGAGATTGTGACTGTCTCTCTTGGAATTTGTAATAACTCTGGTATTTGCCTTGAATAACCAGAGCAATGCTGATCCTCATGGCTTAGGAATGCTCCGTACTGTAGAAGTACAGGCCTGCAAGTATGCACTTACTGTACGCACACTCTCACACGCCTTTTTGGAAAGGAAGCAGGTAGAGGTGTTAAGTAACTCAGTACTGAGTGTGCTGAAGGATTTCTGTTTCTCGTAAACTCGTCCGTGTCGCAGCTCAGAGGTGGCACAGCAGCCTCTGGTTTATCCTGCTCACTAAGAAAATGTATTTCCTACTTGTGTGCCTGAAATGTAATGGCACTACATATTTGTTGGTCCAGTCAGTGTGCGTACAGTCCCTCTTTCTGTGAGATCTTCCAAATGAGCCGGTTCTGCAGGCTTGCATTGCGCCATACTTGTACTACACACCGCTAACGTCTTTTTGGACTTGCACCAGGCTCACCAGGTGGCGCCGGTCCCTCCACATGTGCAGTCCTACCTAGCAACTTCATACTCGCCCACCCAGACTTGCCAACCATGCCAGTTGGCGTACCTCCACTGAGCCACCTGGTCTCTCTAGCATAGCCGCATATCCGCTACTCTCGCCTCTGAGGTTGGCTTCAACTCCACTTTGGGAGCTTGTGTTTTTGGTGGGCATAGCTGACTTGTTTGGACAAAACTGCTGCTTTTTAACAACCATCCGCATTTCTATCCCTTCCCTCTCATTAACAGAATCTGGTGCTGCTGTAGCAAAGCAGAGTTTAGCTGTAGTTTCTGGGTTAATGATGGAAAGCAATGTAGTGCTTGGAAACTCCAGAAGCGTTTGATGCCCGCGTGTGTGGTAGGCTTGTGTCAGATGCTAGATCCCCTTTCTGCAGACATAGTGATCCTCATTAGCTCCATTACTGCTTTCATTTTAACTCAATTCAGTCATGCTTTAGCAATCAGGGCCTTGCGTTTGCAATGCGCTTGTACGTAAACACACACACAATCAGATTATTGAACACAAACAACCCTGTGGACATCTGTAGGGAAAACGCATGCACATTCACACGCAGAAGTGTCAATTCAGGGTAAGTAGAGCAGTATTTCAAGCTGATGCTGGTGAGTTCAAGTAGAGGATAGCATACCCCCTCCGGGAGAATATTGTGAGATCTAAGTCCCACATACAGATACTCCCTCAAACTGCATCGATTTGATATTCTCTTTTAGAGTCTGTGTCGGTTACGCCGGCACAGTCTTCACCGTTCACTTTTGCTTCTTCGTCGGAAATGCACAATTCTGAGAGAAAAAGTGTAACCTTGGGAAATCCCGCAGAAGTGCAGTTAAAGGCAAACGGGATGTAGGTTTTGTTTTGTTTGTTGCAGATATTCTCATCTTTTCGCCCTCTCGCCCCCTCCTTCCATGTCAGATGGCACGCACAGACGGGGAGTAAAGGGGAAAGCTTAGGAGGAGCAGGAGGAACAGAGAGCTGCTTTGTGTCTCTGGCTCCTAGGAGCTCTGACTGTGGAAGTGGAGGCGAGTTGAGTGTGTGTAGGTGCTCCTGGTTTGGGTATCTGTCTAAGTTTATGTATGTTGCTGTGTCTGGGCCTGTGCCTGGCAGGGTATTTTTCATGTGATGTGTGTTTGCAGGAAGTAAGCTGACAGTGGGACATTTTAAAAGAAACTTAACAACCAGTTGGCATGATGCCTGTAGTTTCCCATTTGGCAAGACTGGCATATCATTTCTGTCAGTGCACGTTGGAGAAGCCATCAAAGAGGATCTGATAGCAAAACCAATCTGCTGCTTCGTTTGTGAAATACTTTGACTGCTAGTGAGCACACACCTTGTTCCTTCTTTGTGGGTTTTTTTATGAGCACACCCACATTATTCCACACCATGCAGTTGTTTAAACAGAGATGGCTGCCAAAAGCTGTGCTTGTTTAAAGGGTACATGTGTTGTCTCTTTGTCTCACATACGCTCTCCCTCTGCAGAAAGAAAACACAGTTCAGTTCCATCCCAGATGTTCCTATATGCAGCCTGGCAATGCAATAAGAGCTAACCCTGTCGTCTGTAGGTCTGGTAGATGAGGATTTTATGATCTTAGAAAGATACCTGCTCTCTGACTTATGGGACTCGCCATACTCCCAGGGAAGGCCAAATAGTTTCAGAGCTTTCCCGACATTACCTGAGTTACTTTCCAAAGAAACATCCGGACCTGGGTTTCTGTGTTCTTGATTACTGCAACAGACAAATACATAAACAAGGCAAATAGACTAGGAGGACTTGTTGTGCTTAAGATAACATTAAAGATAAAGCCAGTCACACTGTCTCGCTGGCATCTTGACTGTCTGCCATAAATTGGATACTGTTGGGATAAGTATAGGGTTCAGGCTAATTGTGAGGCTTTTAGCCTACTCAGCACTGCTCTTATGACCTACAGGCTACAGACTCTCAAAGAGCTCTTAAAAGAGGTTAAGTCACTCAAGTCCCTTAACTATTATTCACTCACTGACTCATGCTTAGAGGGTTTGTGTGTGGAATGATTGTACCCCCTCACCCAGAGCCCGGTTGAAGAAGGTTAAACTACAGGTCACTCTGATAAGGAAGCATGACATAGGAAAGGTACAATGGGATTATTCAAGATACAGTTTCCTGTGACTGTTATCCTGTAATATAATATCTGGGTGTGGGGATACATGATGCGCATTTCCCAGAAACAACCTATTTCCTATACTCTCTATTTGGGAAACTCCAGGTTTAACTTTTTGTTGTTGTGGCAGCAACCGCACGTTCCATGTTGTGATTTTTTCAACCAGTTTTTTTTTATCTTACCTACTTCGCTGATCTCTTTTATCTTTGCATTCTGACCCTTCAATATGATAACTAGTTAAAATGCCACTTTGGCTGCCAAGGCTTATGACTAGTATTTAAACTATGTCCGTCCGTACAGAATGAGGAAATTCACTACAACTCTAATCGTAAGCTGGCATGAGAAAAAGTATTCCAGTATTCCTCCCCCCTGAAAAAAAGAATTTATGAGAACATGTCCCTCGAGTATTGATAACACAGTGAGGGGTTTACCATGTTTAGCAACAGTTTTAAAGAGGAACAGGATAAGAATAGATAAAGTCATGTTAGTGCCTGTCTGTGAGATGTTTTCTATTAAGTTTCCATCTGCTAAAACATTAAGTAAGACAGAAAGTAGAAACAGGAACTCTTAGTTATATTTGCTCTTCTCATAGGGAAAGCTCACCACAAAGGTCCTCACAAAAGCTGTCCTTTAGTACAACTTGAACTTAATCATCTTTATGAATAACCACCTTTGTCAGCATTCTCATTCCATAAATATACATACATATGCTAATATTTACAATCCTGACATATTCTATTTTAATTTCCTTTTAAAAATATATTTGCTCTTGAATTGCCTCCTCCTGGTATCTCGGGATAAACCAATCTAATAATAAGGGATTGTGTATCCTTGTTTACTCTCATTGCTCATGCCAGAAGGATTCTCGCCACATGGAGGGTAAAGCCACATACAGTATTTCTCATTGTGCAGTGAGTAAGGAAAGGACCGCTAGAAATTCACAATGTAGAAATAATTATAACCTCAAGGTTAAAAATGCAATCCCTGCTCCACATTTTGAAAATCTGGTCACTACCCTTAAGCAAAGTGCTGACCCCATTTGTTTCCATGGTGCCTTGCATTGCACAGCAATGTTGTATTTTCAAAGAATTGAGGAAACCTTGAAGGTGTTGCCTTGAATGGAGGGAGGCTCACGTCATTGCAAACATACTGTGGGATTCATAAAGTCAATTACGTAGATTCCTTTTTGGATATCGTCTTCTGCTTGGGCAGTCAATACTTCACCAAACTACACCACCGCCCAGTGGTATTCTATAACCATCATAACAAGTATTGCAGGTTTGGGTACTTGAAGCAAGACTTGACTTGTCGAGTCGACTCTGGGTGTGTTATTGGTGTGTGCACACACGTGCTGGTGTTTGTTTTCACTGTCATGCAGGTGTGTCTACATGAACCTAACCAAAGGACGGCTTTCCCACATGCAGGCATGATTAAACTCATAATAATCTTCTGTTGCTGCAGTCAACCCACCTTTCTTTTCATATGGAGGGATTGTTTTACCTTTCCAGTGTATATTCTGTGCTCACAGTTCATATTTGACTCTGACATGTTGCCTTCTTTCTTCTCCCTCTCATGCTATTTTTTCCAGGAGAAACAGGATCCAAGCACCACCTCCCAGCAGCTTCGTACTGAGATCCAGGTAAACAGAGACACTATGTGAACAAAGTATAAGCTTTACACTGTCAGCTTTACAAATTGTGGCACAAAGTAAATCTGACCTGTTTTCTTCACTCTGTCCACAGGAATCATTAGGCTTCAGCAGTGAGGTGTCCACTCCAGAAACAGACAGAAAGTAAGTTATTTCCCCCCATTAAATCATGGTAACATGTGACCGTAGCCAGTGTGGAACCATGAAACTTGCTTGGATTGAAATATGTGCCTGTTGCACGTCAAAACAATGTGCAGCTTAACCTGCGTCTGGAGCGCATCAAACCCGTACACGCCTGTACACATAATCATGAATCACACTTAGCCCTGCTGCATGTCCGCAGCTAAAGATGGAGAGAACCAATGAAATACACTCTCCTCCATATGTAGCTCATGTGATTGATAGATCTCTTATGTGACAGCTTGTACAAAAGGTCTCTGACCTTGCCAGTGGGGAGAAGAGGTCAGCTCCTCAGGTGGAAAACTCCAACTTTGTGGATGAGGAGTGAGCAATAGAGACAGGTTCAGCTAAGATTAGTCAGTTATATGAATATGAGTATTTCCTTTGAAGTTTAATCCCAAAGTTCTAATAATAATATAACGTAATTATATACAAAATATCACCTTTATAATATTAGGAAGACAGTTTTTGTTTGAGAATAAAGAAACCAACCCTCCACATTAACAGACACCCAACCTATGACCTGCAGTCGGTCCCCTGAGCTCCTTGGTCACATCCCTGCTGTGGTTAAAGGAAAACACTAACTGCTTCCTTTAGTTGACCTGCGCAGTCGAGCTGCCATTCTCTGTTCTCTGGCTGTCCATGCTTCCTTCCTGCCTTTGTGTTGAGCTGGGGAGAAGGGGGAGACAGAGAGGGGGAAGGAGCATGAACGAAAGAGCAGGATGGAACCATGCATGGGTGGGGTTCCTTTTCACTGGTTACTGTAACACAAAGTGTGTGTGTTCATCTAAACCCACCTCTGTGTTTATTTTGATGAATGTTATCCACCATGGCTAACCATGAAATCCATATTATACAATGTTATACACATTCAAAGCAATCAAAAATGGTTGTTACAACAGCTCTATAAACTGTCAAATGGAATTAAATCCATTGCAGTCACTAACATTTAGCTTCTTATTTTTAATTATTTTGTAATCCCTGTTCAACAAGACTTGGTGTAAAACATATATTCAAATGTTTCCCTGCATCAGGATGCGCAAGGAGTTTTAAAAACAGAACAGATTTCCTAATGGTGGGGACCAGAAAATCCCCATTTGAAGAAGAGATAAAGTAGAGACGCATAGATTAGTGCAGACATTTAGGGCCCACGTCAAAATCCAATGCCATGTTTGCTAGGGTCAAAGGTTAAATAAATCTCAGTGTGCCTCGGGAATGATCTCCTTTATATCAATTGTATCTGGTGCTTGTTCTGCACCATCACCCCTGAGTGAACCCCAGTGGAATTGTCATGTTCCACGTGACGGCCACGTGCGGCAGAGGAAGCGCATACCATAGACATGATCTCTTCTCCCATGGCTGTATATGCTGCACAGACAAATGCTTTGGTTGATGGGAACCAGATGCCAAATTTCAGATGACGTCTCTCTGCTGTTTGAGAAAGTCTCAGAAAGAGCCTTCTTCCTATCAGTCCATTTTCTCTCTTTCCTCCGTGCCTCTCATCTCTCAAAAACATTCAGACTTTGTCACACCTCAAGTCTTCAGCTACACTCTAATTAAACTGTTCAACATTCATCCATCTCCTCACCCCTATCACTCTTTCTACTATGTATGTCTCATCCATTGAAGCCCCAGACTACTACTACTAAGTTAAATATGAAACAATTTTTTTTTTAAATCGCCGTTTAAAGGTTTTTAATGATTGAGGACAAAATGTTCCTCATCCGAACCTATTATTTTTGTATCCATCCTTCTCTCATTCATCCCAGCTCTGTTCTCCTTTACATTGCCCATGGTCCAATTTGTGCTGAATGGGATTTAGCCAAAGTGATGTATCATGTGCAGAGTGATAGACAAGCCCCCTCAATTCCTCATGACACATTCCTCACAGCCTCAAAAGAAGCACGCTCGCATGCACAGACACGGATATCCCCATCATCGACAATAGGACCCAGAGGAGATTACCCAGACGCCATCTTGGGCTGTGCCACCTCTCTGTCTGTGTCCCCTTGTCACTTTGTTGGCAGGAGGTGGGCACAACTCAGATAATGTCTGCCCTGCAAGTGGTGATGACAGAGTGCTCTAAGAAAGCTGGAAGGGTTTGAGACAGAGACTTCCTGTTTTGAAAGGTGACTGATTAGTGAGTTATTGTTGCAGAGAGTGGGCAGAAGGCTTATAAGTGAAGTTAACAGCGGAAGTAAATGGATCTTGATCAAAACATACACAGAAAAATACAGTTTTTTGGCCCTAACGGTATGTAAGATTGTGCCTTAAGCGGCCGTTGCAGTGGAAACCCAGCTTATGCAACTAATATTCATGGAAATGTAAGCCGTGCCATGTGAAGAATCTGTGTAACAACGGTACAATGTTAGAAAAACCAAAGTACCTTGTTGGCATATTTACCACTTGTGCCTGAGTGTTGCAGCCCTCATGGAACTGCAATTTGCTTGAGAGTAGAGCTCAGGAGACCGTGAACACCAGCACAAGCTCAAAAATGTGCAGTTTTTATATTTGGTGTTTATATGCAATTTATTTATTTATTTCCCTCCATGTAATCTCCCACTTCCATGTGACCTTTGAACTCTACTATAACCCCTGGAGCGGTCATCCATCCACTCTTCCTGTGGACAATGCCACTGTCACACTGGGTCGCTGCCTTTCATTGTCTCTACCAGATAACCGGAGATCACCTCTCTCCAGGTGGCCAGCCCTGCCGTCACACAATCACACCCACATGTGTGCAATGCTGTGATTTATGCTGAGTTTGCAGCTGTGTGTCCAAATCCGGCTTTGTGCTGGTTTATCATCTTTCCTGGACAGCAGTCTCTGCCGTCCTTCTGAATGTTTTCAACACACCAAAAGCCATGGCGCACAGCAACAGAGCCTCATAGCTACATGGGCTATGTTTCAAACGTTAATAATGCTTCACATCCTGGCAAAGGAAGCACATTCAGATATATAATTTCCACAGAGCAAAGTGGCAATTCACTGACAGCCACTATGGCATTAGCTCATCATTGTTCCACTTAACACTTTTACAATGCAGTGCTGTATCATAAAATACACTTTCCTCTACGCTATATAGGTTCAGGCAAAGTTAAGATACTGTGCCTTACATTGTGCAGAAGGTTGAAAGTTGGGTCCGCAGTGAAATGTCCCCTGCTCAATACAAAGAACCTAATTGAAATGGAAAGGCTTGGCAAAGATTTAAGGTTAAACCAATTAAGTTGCCAACCACACAATGCCTGGACTGACACCTCCTTTGAAATATATTCAGGCTCTTTTAAAGTGTGTGAGCACCAGTGTGCGTACATACATACATACATGCATGCGAGCGCTGCACTGGAGGTTAATTTATAGAGCATGGGGGTTGGTGCAACGTTGCCACAGAAAAGCCTCTATTGAGTGAGTTCTATTAGCATTAGCTTTGGCCCTAGCCTATCTGAGAGGAGGATGAACAGAGGGGCCAACCATACAGGCCTCCATTCAATTAGCATCTCATTATGTTGCCATGGCAGCCCGGGCTTTAAAGCCATCGTGAAGATTTCCCATTGCAGCCAGAAAGGGCTGCCATGCCTGAACAAACATGGGAACACATATGTACGCAAACACACACGCTGTCACTGGAGAGGGAAGTGACCTGTTCGTCTTGTTTTGATCCTGTCACACACTTTCACATTGCTTCACTGCCAGCCACCGTCTCCCTGCACGGCTCAGCAGCTGCATACCAACGTGCAATGGGCTCCACTCATAAAGGGTCTCTGGATGTGTGAAAGTAAGAGACACGAAAAGAGTGAGAGAGCTGGCGAGGAGATTTACTTAAAGGGTCTCAACTGGACCAATGTGTCGTTATTATCTTTCTATTTCCCCCATGATTCTTTCCCCTTTTTATAATTGAAAGGATTGAGACGCTTAAAGTGTGCTGCCACCACACACACACACACACACACACACACACACACACACACACACACACCCCCCTACCTGTAGATCTGGAGACATGATGTGAAGCCCACACCCCCTCTGTACCCTCTTACTCAGCCCACTTAGCTCAATCTGAAAACAAAGTCTTTCCTACTGTGAAGGTTTCAGCAGCTACTTTAAACACGACCCGCTGAAGCCCATCCCCCTTTCACCCTCCTTTTTGATATAAAGAATACAGAAATAGATTGCCGTTGATGTGGTTTCTGGTCTCCTCCAGAACAAGGGAGAGTCTGCCCCGGCCTCTCACGCTGCTGAACATCAGGCGAGGCTGCTCAAACATGACTTTTTGATTGGAAGCTGAGTGCAGTCTATGTGTCACAAAGCTTTTGAGTTGTTATTTTCTCACCATAGTACTGGTTATTTAGCAAGGCTTATAGATATATCAGAACAGCAGTTTTACAGTTATTTTCCACTTCTCCCACTCTTCTCTCTCTCTTCCTCGTGACTGTCTCTCCTGTGGAGGGAAGTGGAAACACAAACAGGCTGAGTCTGCCCTGTGGTTTCTCCTCTCTCTTCCTCTCTCTTCCTCTCTCTCCCTCTCTCTTCCCGTTCACATGCTTGACCTTTCTTTTCCTTCATCTATTGGACCTCCCTCGTTTCTTTAATGCTTTTTAAACAGTTTGTAGTACCACCATCCTCATCTGACCGTCTCGTTTTTGCAACAGAGTGTCATTGTCTACATCTTCTATCCTCTACCTTCTCCCTCTCAAGCCTCAGGAGCCTGGCTGTACTGTCACATAAGAATCACCACTGACCCCATGTGGTGAACAGACATAACTGCAGCCCTGTTTGCTTAAAATGACCAGTTATAAACACAACGACACTGATTTGTAGCTATTTGGTCGCTGGATACGATTTTGGAGTAGAAAGAAGCAAGATACTTGTTTCTAATGTAAATTCATCTTTATTTTCTCTTTCCCCCAGAATGCCCCTGCACAAATCCAGCTCTGAAGATGGATCTGGAGGTAATTGAGATGCAATTGTCTTTTGCTGAGATGTTTTTTTCTAAATGAGTATGCTTTTGTATTAATTGATGCTTGAGGAAGTCATATTTGCATTATACCTAATTGTAAAAAAAAAAAGAGAATTATTTTCCCCATGTGACTGAACCTGCCCTGTCTTTAGGTAAATGGGACAATAAGAAGAAAAACAAATCTTTTTGGCAGAACTTCCGCAAGTCTCAGCACAAACCAGTCATGCGACAGACATCCAAAGGTTGGTGTAGCTTTATTTCTCAGATCCCCTTTACTTAATTCATGTTGCCTCATATGTGACCTTTTGCTTGTTTCCCTGTACAGGAGAAGACATAGGCTATGTGGCCAGTGAGATCACCATGAGCGACGAAGAGCGAATCCAACTGATGATGATGGTGAAGGAGAAGATGATCACAGTGGAAGAAGCTCTAGCTCGGGTAGGAAGCTTCACTGACTTCCTGCCTCATGTCGCACCTACCCCCCCCCCCCCTCAAATGACCAATTCCCTTTTGAAAGTGCCACAAGATCCCCTCACCTCCTCCTGGATTAGTTTCCAGCTCCCTTCTGCTCTATATTCCCATCATGCCTTTGGCTTACTAAAATGACTTACTCATACTAACATGTACCAGGCCCCACATTTTAACCCTGCCATGTCCTCTTTACACACACACACACACACACACACACACACACACACATACACATACACATACACATACACACACACACATACACACACACACACACACACACTCCAGAATGTTGGTTTCCAGAGGTTCAGGAGTGTGGGGATTTAAAGGTGTGAGCTCTTGTGTGTGTGTGTGTGGATGTGTTGTTCAGTTCATAATTGCGAAGTTGGTGTCATAGTAACTCAACAGCTCCATCTGTTCGGTGGGATGCTCTGGTGCCCTGTGGTATTTCTCTCTAGGTGGATATGGTGGATAATTACTTGGCTCTCTTTACATTTCTTTCTGAAGAATTTTTGCCTCTTCTACTTTTTTTACTTTCCGACTTCTTTCTTTTTCTTCCATCCTTCCTTTTTTCCTTCCAATCCCCTTGAATTGCTCATGAGTAGCCTGGTCATGCAACAGCATTTTAGCACTGAATTGCTCTCCGCAGAGCAGATTTGATCTTCCTACCCTTAGTTTCCCATAGACCTTTGGTTTTATTTTTGCCAATAGCCTCACTAGCTTATCGCTTTAGTGATTGTCAATGAATCAAACCAATCAATGTCCAGCCTTTGTGGATCATTTTCTTTAACTTGTGGGGTTTTTATTATTGTCAGTATAATATTAAATAGTATGTGTGTCCAGGGATGTAGTTGGCTATAAATATTATACGATTCAATCTGCCTTTCAGTATTTGTATTCTATTGGATTCATGTGTGCTTTAAAGCAATACATAAATCTAAAAGTAATTCCTCATATAGAAAAGGCTAATGACAGGAGTCTGTGGACATAAAACACAATAGACTTTTGTTCACTAGTTGTTTGCAAATAGAGGCTACATGCCTTTAATTTACCACTACGTCACTTATTCAGTCGTTGTAATTTGTATTTGTGTCTCTATATATGCACAGAAGTGACGCCTATCAATTGTCTGTTAGCATATGGAGGGATGTAGCATGTCTGGTGAGAGTGGGTTTCCCCGCCCTGTTCCTCTGCCTCTCTAAACTCTTCTTCTCCACGTAGCTAAAGGAGTATGAACTCAACAGACAGTCCAGCAGTACTGACACTGCTGAGTGGACTGAGGAATCTGCATCCAATCTAAACCAGTCCTCAAACTGCAATGTAAGTACACCCCACCCCATTACCCTGACTCCCCCAAAACCCTGACCTCTCCCCTTTGACTATACCTCTCATAACAACCTCACCTCAACCACTCTCACCTTTGAGTTTGATTTTCAGCAATGGAGGTTACATTACATTACATGTCACTTGTTAGACGCTTTTATCCAAAGCGACTTACATTCAGTACTGTGGGCAATCCCCACAGGAGCAATTTGGGGTGAAGTGTCTTGCCCAGAGACACAACATGCTGCAGTGGGGTTTGAACCTGTGACCACCAGGTTCCGAAGGAAAGTCGTTGTTTCGACATAAGTGTGGATGGATTTGTGTTTATTCCATATGAAAAAACTGGTAAATGAACTTGTTTTTCCTAGCGTGATGTCTAGACAATCTGCCTTTTTGATATCCCTTTTTAGGTGTGTTTTAATTTTGGACATATTTATATGGAGTTGCTTAAAGCACCTTAACTCAACCTTAATTGCCTTCCTTTCCCTTTACCTCCCTGTATCTTCCCTTCTCTCTCTGCTCTTAATTCATTGGCCAACTACTATACATCCACCTTTGCACTTACATCCACCATGTCATGTGCATCTTTATACTATGGTTGTTACCTCTCAGAATCTAATTTATTACCAACTACTAGGTTCACAAATACTAGGAATTTGCTTTGGTTTATGTGGTGCATAGAAAGAGACAGAATGAAGAATAAGTAGCAAAACATAATACATCTCAGAATCTTGTCCCATCGCTTGTCTCGGTTTACTAAGCCTGTGCTCACAAATTGGCAGTCACAATGAGATATATGCTGTTTGCTACAAATCCTCTCTATATTTTATGCATCAGCTTAGTCCTGTCATGGGCAATTGAAATATGTCCTCAAACATTTTTTTTAATTGCCTGCTGTAGTGAAATATACATTGTCTGTTGGACATTTGGGTCAGGTTTGTTTCCATCAATCAGTTGTAATTGTATCTTGCTTATAGCTTAGTGGAAATTCCCACAAATCTACCAGACACCCTTTGCTAAATATGCTCTTGTTAGAATCATTTAGTCAGCTGTGATCTGTGGGGAGAAGGCCTCCAAACCTCCGGTCACCTTTAGAGTGAGACCTTTGAGGATAATGTGTTTGGTGGAGCTGAAGCTCAGACAATCGGGGTCTGTTGGACACAGTTTTGTGTTTGTTGACCCTCTGTCAGTTCTCTCTGTTCTTCCTTTTCTAAACGTAAGTCAGCTCTGAAACAGATTCACAGTGGCCATGACGGTTCTTTATTACCTCGGTGTGTGGCATCATATTGGAAAAACATCTTAGAGTCTCACACATTGACCCAATTTTCTTTGTAAAATCAGTTTTTCGAAGTACAGGACCACGGAAATAATTACCTGCACATGTTTATTTTGCAATTTGGAATGTGCTACTAATTCCTGACTAAACAACACTGAGTTATTCTAAAAACAATCCCTCCTATTAAGCTAATGCATGTGCATTTCATGTTTTCATTGCTGAAGTAAATGGAAGGTTGACCCCACAGCCTCTTCAAGAATCAGCTTTAGATCCAGCACAGTCGCCTTACCATAATCACAATTTCTTATATATTCAAGTGGTTGAAAAGGCTTTGCAGTTTTTCCTCTACTTTTACACATTCATAGCTGCTTGAAGAGGGCTTCAACGTCAGTAATTGTTTAGTGTGCATTCATAAACTCATGAAATCAGATCCGCTGAACTGAATTTGTAAAACTATGAATAAATACTAATGGTAAATAGTTTAACCGCCTAGGGTCCCTATTCAAATGGTCTTTATTTTAATGATTGATGATTTTCTTCATGCCATACATAACCTCAGCTCAAGTTTCGTTGTACTGTTTGTTGTGCTTGTTTGAAATGTGCATGAGTTTGCCGATCATCTTATCAGTCAGTCAACCCTCATGTTACCCCTCTGCTCACTTCCTGTGGAAAGATGATTGATCGATTGGGTTTTTTTAAAGTCTGGAGAGGATAGAAGATTTACTGTAGGAGCATTGTTTAGAGGAACATACATCTTGGCTCTGGAGGCTGTGAACAAATGCAAGAGCTGGAGGCAGAGAGGAAACAAGGGAGAGAAAAATTGGGGAAGATAAAGACTTTGCACTGAAAAGGGGGGAGTTCTGTATCCCCCTTGCCCCGAGTTCCAAAACCGGCCACCTCAGGAAATATTGCTACACTGCTGGGGCCTCTAGTGGTGTCACGTACCGCCCCCTCTCCCCTCTAATGAATGGATTTGGGTCATTCCCGATTTCAAATAGTTAACAGATTTGTGTGTCTGTGTGTGCCTCTATATAGTGACATGTAAATATATGGTTCAGATATATGGCTGACATGTTGGCATGGCTTTGGCTTCTTTGTGCCTTTTCTTTGATGCTGTCTTCTCCCGGTCTGTCTTCCTCCGGCTATCGGGTCCCACATTCCAGGGCTGGCCATTAGCGATGTCGGGGCCAAGGCAGGGTCAGAGGGGCTCAAATGCTGGGATTGTTCTCCATGCACAACACGCCTTTTCTCTGCTAGCTGTGCGGCACGGCACTTCCAAACAGTCCCTCATTCCTCAGAGCTGAATTCACGAACAGGCTGCATCTGTATCAGCCAACATGTGCACAGATACAATTTTGAATTGTGCATGCGTGAGAATGTAATCAGCCTATTACGGATTTTCTGGGATACATTTTTGCTAACTTGTTGGATATTAACAAAGAACAAGTTACCCTTGGGTTTTGAATGAGGTGGTAAGTTTTAAGGCACATTTATGCTCTTGAATGCTTGAAGTAGATAGTAGCTTTAATTGATGTTGTGTGGTGCAGGATGACATATTTTAGTGTGCAACATTTTTTTTCCGTATTTCGTATTCTCCAGCAAAATACATTATACAACCCGTCCAGGGTCTGTAGTTTTTCTTTAAAGTTTATTTGCATCTCCAAAGCTATGGGAGCAATCCTAAATTTAATTTATGAAGTTAAATGGCTATTGTGGTGGTGAAACTGTTGCATGTGGCCTTTTAGCCCTGCTTGATTCATTGCTTCCTCTGTTTGGCTTTCTTTCTCTGTGTGTCTTTCCTCTGTTTTGAGGTCATTTGCAGTGACGGTATTTCTCAGGACTATGATAGGACCAATATATCATTGTCGTCTCTTACCATCGTATTGTCCCTTTCTCTGTCTTTTAAACAAGGAGAGTGTGGGTCAACTATGAAATGACTATTGCAGTTGTCCGGCACATAGCTATTCCCACATATGACTTCACATGAGTCACTTCTCAATAACAGTTATTAAGAGGAACTGAGTTACAGAAGTGGATTCCCATCCAATCTGTGATTTCACAACCTTTACATCTGCTCTTTTATCAGTCATCTCTGACTTGTTATTACATTACATTCACTGAATCGAATACAATAAAGCATCGTGTAGAGCAAATGGAAAGTTGAAGCTTTAGCCAGAATTGTGTGGTTCAGCTGAGGTATTGTCATGGAGAACTGAGCTGAGGGAGAAGTGAGTTATGGGTTTTCAGAAACTATTTCTGCAGTTTTGTGGGAGGCTAAATAAATGGCTATACCCAAGTTCTGGTCTGTTGAACTGATATGATGGAAGACCTAAAGGTTGATAACGCATCTCTAAAAAAGGTGAAGTGGAGCTATGTTTGATAGAATGGACTTCACAGTGATTAATATGTTGTTCCCTCTTCCAACTTGGCAACTAATTGTAAGGTTTTGTAGCGCTAGTGGTTTGGTGCCATTAGGGATTTTTGGACAATGTCAAATCTGTGTGCTCCAACCAAGCCACACTTATTAACATCATCCCTACTGGATGTCAGCAGCCTCAGAGCCAGGCCTGTGGTCAACAACAGCGAGAAAGCGGTTTCTTCTCTGCTAGCTTTAGAGCTGTAACCGTGGATAGCATTTCATAAGACAGAGTGCTGAGCCCTGCAGGCCTGCTCTGTCTAGTTGTGTGTAGAGTATGTGATGCATGAATGCGTGTCCCTTTGCAAGCGATGCAGTCAACCTCAACTGTGGAACTGGCAGCGTGTGACAAAAGAGGTGTTGTTGTTGTGGAAACCAGTGGCAAATTGCCAGTCTCCCTTGAAAAAGAGATTGTTGATCTCAATGGGATTTTACCTGGTTAAATAAAGGCTACAAACAAATAGAAACAAATGAAGTTGTTGGAGCTCCATGATAATTATGGTAGTTCTTGCCAGAGAATCTTTAGGCCAATGCTTGGCTCATCATCCTCATCATCACATGGGGACCATAGAGAGAACACAAACAGCTTGGGGAGTTTTTGTGTGTTTGTGTGGATGATGAAAATGTTTGTGACTTCATTCATTATGGTCTCTTTTCCTCTCTGTGCAGAAAGTTTGAATGCATTGCCCTTCAATTGAGAGGCAACACAACGCAGAGTTGGAACATTTATTGTTTTACTGCTTCATCCAAATGTACTAATTATTTAAGTTCAAGTTATTAATATACATTTATGAACTTAACATGATGTGTGCCACTATCCATCTAATCATCCATTTCTCACTCACTAACTTTAACTCCACCCTAAACAATACTTCCATCTGTTACATATAACATAAGTGTTCAATATCACAAAATGTTTTTATTTTTCACTATTTTTTACGTTTAATTCCTTTTGAAACAAAACCACACGTTTATTTTACACTTGCATTGATTTGATGGTACACTAAAGAAGATCCTCCCTTTTCTCAAGGTTTATTTAACTGAGTAGTTGTTTACCGTCTGTTCCTTTTTATCATATCATCCTTCCCTCTGGCTCTCTCTTCCACCAGTCTCGTGAACAGTCAGACGATGAGCAGTCGGAGGACTCTGTGAAGTTCAAACGGCTTCACAAGCTGGTTAACTCTACGCGCCGCGTCAGGAAAAAGCTCATCAAGGTGGAAGAGGGCAAGAAACATGGCTCAGAAGGTTTGTTACTCCATGTCTTAAAATGTTGTCCTCGCATTATTTAACAGTTAAACATATGTTCATGCATTATTGGAAACATTTTATGATAAAAATATGTTTTTTGGCACTTTGTCTGTCCTCTCTAAAGAGAAGTTTAAGTTCAGCCATGTTTCCAACTGGTGGTTATTAGAAATGAGTTCCGTTAAAAGGGATCTATTTTTTGAATGCCTAAGTATTACATTCTCATCTGTCATGGCTTTTGCCTAGTACTCAGACTTTAAGAATGTGTTTTGAAATGTGGGCTGGCTAGCTAAGGTTTGGAAAACCACAGATGGGTCATGGGACTACTCAGAATCTGATGTCTAAATCCTCCTGATTAACAAACTGTCTGGATTCTGTCTTCTTCTTCTAGATTTTCTGAATCTGCGGTCACCTCCCACCTGTGAGAACAACACAGCTCTGTATACAGGGGTCCTGAAGAGGCCCCCTCGGCCTCAGGAGAGCTCCCTCACCCAGGATCAACTCTCTCTGGATGGAGACACAGACAGCCTGACCAACTCCCCCTCCTCCAGCAGCCTGGACACCTGGTCCGGACACAAGCTGGTCAAGACCTTCAGTAAATCTTCCAGTACCCACGGTCTCATCCGACCCCCCAAGAGAACCCCAGTCGGCTCTACAGGCCTGGGAGACTCCAACTTGGGCGTAGGAGGCAGCGGCTCTTCCGTTTCAGAGCTGGATGGCTGTGAATTGGACGAAGAAGGAAAGCTGTCACGCTCCACAACCGACAGCGAGATGCGGAAGGCTCTGAACTCCATCTCCCATGGGGTAAGTAACAATGAGGCGCTCTATGCCTACTATGGCCTCACAAAACCCCGCCCTAAACCCCACTCCCAGTCCCGCCTCCTGATCTCTCTGGATGACGGTCCACAAGGAAGTCCCAAACAACAATCTGCCAACCGGCATCACGGCAGCTGGACGCACCGGAAACCTGATCCCAACTACGCTTACTCCACCAAGCACCTTCTGTACCAACGCTCGCGCAATGCCAAGACCCCTATCTCCCCTCTGTCTGTCTCCCCCTCCTCCCCTGCCCGCTGTGATGTAGCCAAATCAAAAGGTTTTGGCAGTGGGGGAGGGGGCTGGGTGTTCCCCTCTCGCAGGCTGCGTGGTCGAACGGCAGTCAGTGAGCTGAACATCACCTATGTGGTGGAGCGGAGCCTGTACGGTCACCTCAACTGGGCCCAGCTGGTCCGCCCCGTTACCCTCAGCCGCGCCGAGCGCCGCTGTCTATTGGAGGAGGACCGAGAAGGGGACAGGAAGTGGGCGGCCAGTGTTGACCGCTGCACCAAGCGAGTGCTCTTGCGCATCCAGCAGAAGTCTGTGAGTTCAGACCATGAGGTTTAAATCGACCGCCTCGTGTGAGCAGGACTCGGTGCTTCAAAGTTGCAGAATAGCTCAGAGGTTATATGGCAAGATACAGCAAACACACACAACACACATGCCACGCCAAATGACTTCCACCTATCCATTTAAATTGCCCATGTAAGAAATCCACATTAAAGCATGCAACTCTGCTCATTTATAGAAAAAAGGCAAGGGGCTCGTATATCTATCACAGACTTAACTGCCCTGAAAAGACTGTCATCTTCAATGACCTTTAAGTAAATGCCTTTGGCTTTCACCAAAAGCCTTTTTTTATTTCAGCTAAATATACAATGATTATGTAATGTGCAGTGGCACACTTATGAGGTTAAGTTACAGAAGTAAGTGCTTTTTGATAAATGTCAGATCCTTGAGGAACACTGGCATATACGCACTGATCCTTGTGGGCAAAAGGGATATTATACAAACTCGAAGCTGCTCATCTTTAGAACTGCACAGTACATCGCCTTAGAGACATATTCAATTAAACGCCTTAGTCAACTGCTTATGGCTTATAAACGTTCAAATGAATTGTGTTAGGCTGTGTATAACAACAGAGAAGTGGAAACAGAAAAACAGCTACTACTTATTCATATCGCAGTGAATGCAAAATGTAAGTTCTGTCTAACGTCAACCAGCATTAAAACAGTGTGGTTGTATAGCAAGGGACTCACTTGCTCCCTGTATGAAATGCCTGTGTGTATAAGCAGAAGTAGGGACACATTCTCTAGGTGGTGATACAGTGGAGCTATCCCGCAACTTTGAGGGTACCTAAATCCTATCGTGTTCTAGTGAAATCACCGGAGGTCGTTCTCATCCAAAAACTCTCCAAAAAATCCACTTTTTCTGTTGTTGCTTTTCGTGTCCTTCTTTGGCCCGTGCCTCTACAGTTGCTGATGTGATTTTTATTTGTTTTAATCTTTAGTTGATTTTCTTTCCTATGATTGTCTTTGAGAGACTTTTTTTCTGGGTGCATGTCCATTCCATCAAGCATCGCCATCACATTCAAAGTGCTTTTTTTTGGACTTGGCTGCAAACATGTTTGTTCACCAAACTGCTTTTCCTGGGAAGTTGTGCTGTGGACTGCAGCTGTGGACATCTAATACACAAAATATCTTTTGAACGTGCAATGCATTCACATGGAGGATCTTCGTCCAGGGTTCGTGGGAGTTTAGAAGTAATGGCTTTTTAAGCAAAGGAGAACTGCTATCAAGGGCCCCACTTGAACAAAGTGTTGTTTGGCAGATGCATTTGTGCATGTCTCTACGTGTCTACATGTCTGTGTGTGACCTACTGCAGAGCTTAGGTAGGATTCAAGAAGTCAAAGCCTCTCATGTCACAGTTCCCGTTGTGTCTACCCCTGTTGACCTCTACAGTTGATCCAAAAAGTCCCCATATCACCCTGTCCTCTCAGCAGAAACAATTTACCCTCCCCAAAAATGTTTCTGATGAGAATTAACACATTGTCCGCTCCAAATAACCTATATGTTGTGCATGTTTGCATACTAAGCCCTGTTCTGCATTTTTCATAATTAACCACTTGACATTTTGCATCAGGCTTAAAAGTAATAAATATATATCTTGTAAAAGTACGGCTATATATTTTAGCTTGGCCCCATCAAGAAAGGTTTAATTTAATCCAGGGATTTAAGGTTTAAACCGTATGAGCGACTTGTTGGAGACAATTTAGTGCTCTCCACGGTCAATATAACAGCTCATTTGCCTCGAACCGTGCAGTAACCCGCAATTTTAAAGAGGAGCTCGTATAACAGTTTGTGTTACATCATGTCTGTTGGCTGTCCACAAGTCCCATATGACGTCATGACCCCGCATACATATATACCATATCCCCATGTACATTCATCAAAGTGCTGCCTGTGTTGTGTCAAGCATGAATCATTGTGAGTTGACCCTCAGTGGGTGTGGATGGGGAGTTCCTGTAACCTGACGTTCTAAATGTGACTCATTTGATTGTGTTTTGGCTCCCCCACAGAGAACGTGCAGCTTCGGGGGCTTTGACCTGTCTAACCGTTCTCTCCATGTGCTCAACGTGGGCTCAGAGGCCAATGTAAGTGCCGGCAGCTCGTAAAATTAGAAGAGGCTGTGAAGAGCCCAACCTGAACCTTCCTGTCACACTAAATCACCTTTCTCTCCTGTTTTCTCCTGTTTTTTGTGTGCCCCCTCTGCCCTTTGTCTTCTTCCATTTCCATCCACTCCTGATTAATCCGTCACCTTCTTCCCCTCTGTCCTTCCTTCTCCGTTCTCCCTTCCCTTTTTCTGATCACAGCATAAAGATCAGGAGGCCATATACAGAGAAGTGGTCAAATCCCCCACCACCTCTCGGATCTCACTGGGCAAGAAGGTCAAGTCGGTCAAGGAGACGATGAGGAAACGCATGTCGAAGAAGTACAGCAGCTCCTTTTCTGAGCAGGTTAGATATTTACACCCACACCCACCCACACATACCATTTTTTAATGCTTTATTTCCAAAAAGTTCAGTTTACATTAAGGATTCTGTTTCCCTTATTTTCCAGGCAAGTGAGGTACATCCGAACCTCAACTGTATTTAAATGTGATAGCTTAAACATATACAGTCTCAAAAATCCACACCGTACTTTTTATCCTTAAAACAGTAAGCCAAGGGCTGCTTTAAAAAAATAAAAGTGCCCCATGTTCTGCAAACATTTATGGGATGTTTTGCAGTGTAAGCCACATTTTCTGTCCACAGGCTGTGAGGGAGTGGGAGTATTTGTGTTAGTAACGGTATAAACATGGACATTTTAAACACACACACACACATTTGGATTTCTCTCTGCCGTGCTGTCCCTGGGTGGAGTGTGTGCTTCATGCTGAGCTCATGGAGTGATGCAAGTCTCCCCCAGGCTAGCTCTCTGGAAATGAAGTGTGAGAGAGTATAATGGCTGTCTCAACTGCACAGTCCTAATTGTTTTGGGCATCCTGTGGCTTTACTAGTGGCCTGTCCAGCCCTCCAGTTTGATGTTGCCTTGCAAAGTGTGTCATTATTGTACAGTTGAACATCTGGCCATCATGGTGGTCTCAACACTGACCCACATATTCTTCCATTAGTCATGGAGCCATTAGATGGAAAAGAGCGAATAGAAATTAATTTCCTTGGGACAATTGTTCAACAAAGTTTGAGACCACACTGCCACCTGGTGGTTGATAATACACACAACATTTGTATTGTCTGAGCCTTTTTTTTTTACTTAAAATCTTTAAACTTAATTTTTTTGATTGTGTTATTTCTAACATATGCAAGATAATGCAATGCAGGTCTAAAAAACACAAAATAATTGTATATGTCAGACTAAATGTTATCATAACTGCTATAACTTGATTTAATCTGAAAATGTCAGGGTATTAAACCGTGGGGGATCTATCTTTTGTGTCACCTAATAAACAGCTGATCATATATCATCATTGGATATTAGACTGATTAGACATTACCGTTTCCCCATTTGCGTGCTGCTTAATTTACATACTTTTTTCAAAGCTGATGATTGGTTAATGTTCACATTGGTAAACCCATTGGGCTGAAAACTCACTTTTACATCTGTTTTTTTATGAAAAAATACTGACAACCCCTATCACCGCCCCCCACCCCCCCCCCTTGTCTATCTTTCTGTCATTCAGTCCAGTCCCGATGGAGCCCCTGGCTCCCCTCAGTCCCCTCAGCCTGACACCGACTCTCTGGAGAAGCCGAAGCTCAAGGCCGGAGGATCGGTGGAAAGTCTGCGAAGTTCACTCAGCGGACAGAGTTCAATGAGTAAGACATAATCCAAGTTACTGCTTCTCAAAACTGATGTAGCATGCAGTACAGTGTATGTTTCTTGACATCATGATTAATAGAACAAGCTGTCAAGATTGTTTTTGGTTCCATAAAACATTCCTTCCATAGCAATTAGTCCTCCATTATTTCAAACCACTGTTATTTTACACTTTGGTTGCTGGTGGAGAAATAAAGCACAATCATGTAGTTCTAGGGTGTCATTACATCATTATATGTCATGTACAAATATTTAATGCAAAAACAGGGACGTTTAGTGTACAGCTTAAGTCACCTGTTTTGAGTGATGTTTAACACTAGATGGTGCTCTTTACATTTACTGTTTGCTGGTGTGTATTTCTAATTCATACAGATTACTCAACCTTCTGTCAATACATGTATACTTATCATCATTTCTGTGGAGTGACGTCCATGAAGATCACACCCAGTCCCACGGGCTGCGTCATGTGTTGTGATCTCATCGAGGCTTCAAGTGACCTCTCATCTTATCTAATTACAACTTCTCATAACTTAAACCGGTTGTTTCCCTCACGTCTTTGTTGAGAAAATACCCTCCATCATCTCATGCTCGTGGTGAATTGAAGACTTGGCCGACTAGGTCATTTGAAGCCATAGAAAAAGCAGCCAAACAAGCAGGCAAACATACGGTAATGATTAGTTAGGGAGTCCTGGCCAAATACTCGACTTCAGCTCTAGTTCAAGTTGTTATGACTTTAAGTTCAAGTTCTCCTCTCAATGCAGACACAAAGACACGACAAAGACGTTGACAAAATAATATTAGAAAAGTACTACTACCCGTCCTACCTTCTACTTCAAATCCAAACCTTTGCATGCTACTAAGTACATGTGTATACACTAGTGACCAGGCAATCTTTGTATATCTTCTAAAAATCTGTGTGTGTGTTTGTGTCCAGGTGGTCAGACTGTGAGCACCACTGACTCGTCAGCCAGTAACAGAGAAAGCGTGAAGTCCGAGGATGGTGATGACGAAGAGCCGCCTTACAGAGGGCCGTTCTGTGGCCGCGCCCGGGTCCATACAGACTTCACCCCCAGCCCGTACGACTCAGACTCCCTCAAACTGAAGGTAAACACACTTTGGGACTTGAATATGATTATGCACCGACCACCGGTTGGAGAGCTGTGGATGTACACTTTACTACTTAAATGGTTCACTTTTTTTAATGCTCAATATTTTTAACTACTAAGCGGTTCAGAAAGTTACGTTTTTTTCTGAATGATTGTCTTTGTGATTTTCCAGCGCGGTGATGTGATTGACGTCATCAGTAAGCCACCCATGGGAACGTGGATGGGTCTGCTGAACAACAAAGTGGGCACCTTCAAGTTCATCTACGTGGATGTGCTGGTTGAAGAAGAGGAGAAACCCAAGAGGCCTGTAAGGAGAAGGAGGAAGGGCCGACCCCCCAAGCCCTCATCAGTGGAGGACTTGCTGGAGCGCATCAACCTCAAGGTACAGCGTCGCCATGCGTTGAATACTGAATGGATGTACAGCATCAGGTCAAATCACAGAGTCTTTTCAGTGGCAGTTGAGTAGATTTACCCGCGCTGATTGTGTTCAGTGTACAAACTGCAGAAATGAATTGACCAAACTGAGAAGTCTCACCCATCTAAATAGGAGAAAGCTAATCTTATGGAGTGAATGAAAATATTGTCTTAGCCAAATATTTTCAAAACACATTTGCAGAAAAACAGAGATAAATATAGCATAGACAATTACAGGCTACACAGCTCAGGATGTTTGATCTTACCCTGATGCATAAACATTAACACCCACATTCTCACAACCACGCCCCAACAAAACAACACTCATCTTTAATCAAAACCTACACATAGCTGTGAGCTTGATATCATCTCCTCCCTCTCGGGCAGCCAGCAGGCCTCACTTCCGCAAATAGAAGGAAAAAAACGTTGTGTTTCATCTCTGGCCAGCCTAATGGGAGAGTCACAGATTAAAGATCTAGAGTAATTATTAATGTTGCAGCACAGGCGCTCTAAGCTGTGAGCCAAAAGTGTCACAAGTGCTTCAGAGTGTCCTTAGGCAGCACCAGATTTCTACAACGGGTGAATTCAACTAAACACTAAATTTAAAACATCAAGTTACGTTTCCTGGTTGAAACCAGTGTACCAGTACATTTCAGTACATGATGAAAAAGTATAAATAAATTCCAGTTCCACAGTTTTCTTAACAAAGATCATTATCTTTCCAAGCCCCATTTGCGTTCAGTTATTCAACTTATGTCTTTTTAGTTAGTTCGATCAATTTATTTCACATCCAAGACAAATCATAAACATCACAGCCAATATATTTAAGATGGATTAAAGCAGAGGTATTAGAGCTTAAATCAAGTATTTATTTGTGCAAGTTTTTGTACAAGTTTTTGTTGTTTATGTAGAGGAACAATAGGTATTTTTTCTATATATAGCCCATTTCTCCAGGTGACAGAAAATGTCACCTGTTTATAGAGAGGGGATTTTTTTCAAAGTGTCTCACATCTTTTTTAGTGTAGATATTTCCTCAGCTTTATGTTTTTGAACACACCAACAATGCCTGTCTGTACCCATACAGTGTTAATCTCCATACTCATGTAACTGTTGCGCGAGAAGGGCTCTGCAAAATGATCTTTCGATTTGAAATGTGTTTGGGTTTTTGACAGGCCAAAAGACACAAGAAAGTGTGAGTGAAAGGACACCGCTGCCTGTGTTTGTTAGTCGGTGGTCCTTTGTTTAGTCCTGCATTATCCAGCAGAGATAGAGCACACACAGTTTTTTTGTGAGGTCTCCACCATTGTAATTGATGGTCTCACTGGTGACACAGAGTCTATGTATTCATCCAACAGAGTGCGTGGGTCACACAAACATAAAGCCAAGCAATATTGGAAGTAGAAGAAGTTACGACTGTGTTGAACGATGGTGTGAGCGGACTGTGCACACAGGGCGTATCTAGATCTCTTTTTTGTTGGTCTGCACCCTCTCAGATAACAGGGTGGTTTTGAGTGAGTAGCTTTGGTGTTTGTTTGTGTTGGTGTGTAAAACTTTGCCTTCCGTGGTTGAGGAATGATTTGATGTAACAGTCTCCACCTTCGGTTCTTCTTGTTGCCACATTAAGTCGGCTGGTTTTCCTTTCAAGTCCTGTTTGCCATCTTGGTCACAGTTAGAACAGCTTGGGATTGTGGCTGCTCACTCCATGCTCTTACTCCATTGGTACATGTTGCTTCAAATCAGTTTTATGTGCCTGCCAACATGACAAAGTGTATGCCATATTAATGTGTGTTGACAGTTGAGGCAGCCATAAGCAAATTAGTCACGGCTCAAAGTGATTACATGCCATCTGAAAATCTAAACAGCAGTTTAGATTTGACTCAGCAGTCATTTCAAAATATACTGGTTGGAAAGTAAGTTATGAGCAGATGACAAGTGTGAACCCTTTTTTTTTCTCTCTTACCTCACCTCAATGTCTATATTTAATGTTTTTAGCCCAACGTTTTTTCACTGGTTTAATGACTCATATCCAAAGGTTATTTTTATTTAGTCTAGTGTTTCATTTCATTTCAAACCTTTATTTATCCAGGTGTATCCCATTGAGATCATTGATCTCTTTTTCAAGAGAGACCTGCTCAAGTAGGTTCCACATGAAACATAAACAGAACAACAAAAAGGACATCATACAGCATTGTATGTTTTATTATGACATAATCATTCTTAGCCCCTCAAAAGAAAGTTTAAACTCACACGTGACCTTTATTTCACACAGGAGCACATGCCCACTTTCCTATTCAACGGCTACGAGGATCTGGACACGTTCAAGTTGCTGGAAGAGGAGGACCTGGATGAGCTGAACATCAAAGATCCTCAACACAGAGCCGTGCTGCTCACCGCCGTAGAGCTGCTACAGGAGTATGACAGTAAGTCGAAATAACGTGTGAGAACACACTCCACACTATTTTGATTAAGGTTGACAACCAGGAGTTAAGATCTTGGGTTTTACTGGTTAGTCTCACTAAAATATGCCCAAAATCTATCTATTTGCAGGAACTCTCACTTTAAAGCAAGAATCTGTGTTAGCATCTGTAGAATTGTATAGGTTTATGTCATTCCTAAGTAAAGACAGTACATCCCTGTCATAGCCATTGCAATATGCAATAAGTGGATCAGCTGCAGGTTTTTTATTTTTCAATAACCTTTGAAACAAAAAATGTCCCCGTACAGTTCAGCTGTGTGGCAAAACGGATATCAAACAAATGTTTATTTATTGAGACAGATATCTGGGAAAATAGTAATATATATTCTTAAGTCCTGATCATTTGTAAAGGGATAACCCATACATTGACCATGAGCTGCCAATCTCTACTGTGGCTTTCTAATAAAGGCAGACAACATAACAAATGTTGTGTTTGAATAATGTTCAACCATAATATTGATTATATTGCTGTTTTGTGTGTGTCTTTGTATTTTCAGGCAGCAGTGATCCAGAGCGCAGCGGCCTGTCGGGCTCCCAGGAGAAGCTGCTGTGTGAGGGCCGGGGGCTGGTGGGAGACTCCCCGCGAGACTCCGGCTGCTACGAGAGCAATGAGAACCTGGAGAATGGTAATGATAGCTTTGTAGTGTAGACCAGCTAGACCCTAGGCTTGGACCTAGTTTGGGTCTGGCCTAGCTGTACTCTAGAGCCACAGCAACTCCTTCTCCTTTTCCCTCTGTGGGCGCCCGCTCCATCTCTTTCCATGCTTCTACAACTCCTCACCCATCTCCCTCCTCTGGACCAGCGCCTGCCATCCAGAAAGCTCCTTTGTCTGCCATAGCTTCCCCTAAACCTCTCCTTTTCTCCTCTAGTCGGTGCTGTAGAAAAAGAACTGCTTATCACCTCATTCTCTAAAGACTTTAACTATCCTTTCACTCTACTTTCTTCACCCCTCTTTCCATCTTATAGGCATTATGTGTCATCAGTGCCAAAGTCTAATTGTAACTGAGAGGAAGCCCGGTCCAAGACCACTAAGCGTAGTCCACCCCACAATGATGGGAGCACAGAGGGAGAGACCCCCCCCAGTGCACAGAACAAACTCACTGCCCAGTCCTGGACTCAGATTCTCAGCTCCTCCGCCTGTGGATGCACGGCTTGTTAAAGGATACCGGCAGGATGAATATGGGCTAATAGAGTATTTCTGTTAAGTGTTTTTAATATAGAAAAAGAGCTTGCAGAGTAGCATGTTCATAAATGCTTGTTTTATTTGCAGTGGTGATTCTATAGGCTCATTAGGATTTCAAATGTTTTACCAGACAGGTAACAGAGCACACCTGCCATTTAAATCTGGATGCCTGAATACTGAATACTATTTCAATCTGTCACTTTTTCTTGTGTTTATAGTGACCATGTTGCACAAACAATCGACAGTATGTGCCTAAAATAGATTAACATATTTTAAAATACTAGTATATTGATTGTGCAAGAGTTCTGAATATAGAAGTTTATTGAGGTCTTATTTGTGAGATTTATTTTGTCTTTATTTTTTAAACTGTTTCATCCTCTCACATAAGACTGTATGCTATCTTTCTTCCTAACATGCTTTCTAACAGCTCCATAACTCATAAATCACTGCTTTGTCAAATTCTGTCTACTTTCTATATCTGTTGGTTTCCAGAGTTACTACTTGGTTTCCTTTTTATGTGTCTGATTCAAGTTTCAAAAGTAAAGTGTGCAATCTGCCAACGTAGAGATTTAAGTTGTGGAATAAAAGCCACTTCTTTAAAAAAGGACTTTGGTGCGGCTTGCTTTATTTTTTACGTTTCACCTTTTTTCTGTCTGTTTTTCCTTCCATGCCACTAAACACTATTTTCGCAAACCAGCTGCATAACATTTAGTGAACATTCTGCACCTCTTCTTGCCGTCTCAGGGCTCCTACCGGTAAATGCATATTCCTGATTGGCAAACATATTTGATTGAAATGTAAAACATAGAAAGTATTTAAAATACATTATGCAGACAATGCACTTCCTCCTTTTGGGGAAAAGTTATTGAGTCCTGAATTGATGCTCTTTTAATCAAAACAGCTTCTTTTAACAAACATGTGTTTAGTTTTACTGTAACTTTATATTGTAATTCTTATTTACATCATCAAATAACTTTTGTATTTGATCAACTTTAACTCGTCACTTTCGTATGCGTACACAATGTGGTGCCCAGTAAAGTAAAAGGCAGATCATGATTATGTTCAGTCAGTGATCCACATACTAATTCTCATATGTTAAGGACACACCTTTAGATTATAATTTTTGTAACACAAAATAACTCATACATCTTAAATTAGTCTTTGATTACTCATATTTATATGTAAATATTAATACATTTTTATGAATGTTATATTATGTTAATTGTGTTTCACTCTGTAGACTGTTATTATATTTTACTTTATAAAACAAATCATAGTGATGACAATTATATCTTATATAACTCATGATGTTGCTGTAAAATACATAAATGTACTTTAAAAATCTAATGTCTGAAGTGAACATGGTGATTAAAGTAAATATAGCATTTATTGGAACATTTAAGTAATTGAATGTTTTATCACCACTCAATCCAAATTGGCCAAACATTGGGAAACTGAGAAACCATGAGGCATTCCATCTTTTGAACTCCTTTCTGTCATTCCAACATTAAAAAATCTTTGGCAAGCCACACTTTGTGGCACCCATCCATTTCACCCCTCCATTTTGCTGTGTAAGCCAGAGAAGAGATGGTAAGTTGCTTCGACCTTTTGTTCCACAGTTTTCTGAAACTTCCCGTTGAGATATCTGCATTTGTGATTGCTGCCATGACAACAACAAATCAGCGAGTTTGGTCTCGAGTCAAAAATATTTGTATATCCCAGGGGGCCTCCTCCCCTTCTTCATAAACATGTCTCTGATTTTCACTGGGGTTTACAGATAAGCATTTAACAAAAAGGATGTAATGATTAAGAGTAGATTTTTATATAAAACTACTTAGCTTTGTTTGAAAAAAGAAAAGTGAGCTTGTTTTTCTAATAATATAAATACATGATTCAACATAAATAAAGGAAAAGGCAGCCATGTGGAAAAATACAGTAATGCTGCTGAGTCATATTCACATGGATCTTATTTTATACTAATGAGGTCATGGCCGTAGCAAGCTGAGGAGTAACTGTTTAATTGTTAGCATTTCACAAAAGAGGGGTACAAACTTGTAATCGTCAAAGACTTGGTTGCACTTGGGTGAAAGTGTCTGGATGTCATTACTAAGAGAAGATCAATGTTTTTCTTTTGCAGGTAAGAGCAGGAAGGCATCCCGTTCCAGTCGTTCCTCAGCCGGCCTCCATTCTCCCGACTACCCCACCCTGCCCATGACCCTCTCAACAGAAGCTCTGCAGCAGAACAACAAGAACCAGCGCAAGGTCCCAAAAAGCTTTTTCATCAAACCCTCCCTGAAGGGCTTCAACCTGCTGGGGCTGCGCAAAGCCCAAAGACGGTCCCCCATCCCGGCCAGCCGCAGCTGTGAGGACCTGGACGGACCCCTGCAGACCACCGCCCCCTGGAAGCGCTCCCACTCTCTGGGGGATATGCACTTGGACCAGAGCTTTGAGCAGAAGGATCTGAGTGTGGAGCTTAACAGTGCCAAGAAAGAACCTAAATCAGGCAGCAGTAGCCCCATCAAGGCCTGCAGAGATGAGGGTTCCCCAGCTCAGAGCAGGACCCCAACAGTGAGCCCAAAAGGAAGACCCCCCCTGCCCTCCCAGCTGCCTCTTCGTCCCCCTCCCCATACCCGCAGTCCTCCAGAGCTCCTCTCAAGTCCCACTTCAAGTCCGCCTGAGTCAAGTGGGGAGAGGGTGATCCGGACTCACGCCAAGAAGCCTCCAGTCCCTCCCCCCGTTCCTGCTAAGAAGTCGAGGGAAAGACTGGTCAACGGCCTGCGTCACCCCCCTCTCTCCCTGCCCTCTTCACCATCACCCACTCCCTCCCCGACCCACTCCCTCAACCGCTCTTACCCCAGCAGCCCTGTAATCCGCAGCAGCAGCCCGAGCTTCGGGGCCCCTGCTCTGCCTGCCAAGAGCCCCAGCACCCCCGCCAGCCCCTGTGCCACCTCCTCCTCCTCCTCCTCCATGGGCGAGGACTCAGGCACTCCCCCAGCTGTGCAGCCCCCGTGGTTCTCAGATCTGGGGGGGCAAGGTGGCTGTTGCGAGGAAGGTCTCCCATGCCAAGATGGGCCCTGACCTGCTGACCCTCCTGGAACAACGGCTGGAGGCCGAGGGCATCGATCTCACTGAGGAGCCCTACTCTGACAAGGTTAGTAAAGTTCCGTTAATCCATGACATGAAGAATCACCTCACAATTGATCTTATTACCAATATATTTGCAATGATTTTGGTTTTAAAGCAGATCAATAACTAAACAGAAAAAAAATCTATTCATTACATTACATTGATTATTATATTATTATTATATTCAGTTGATACAACCTTATGGACTTCAGACCATGTGGCCAGATGTTGGCAATAAGACCTCCTACTCAAAGTAAAAAGACTACCAAACTTGAGTCCTTCAGTATTTAAACATTAGGAAATCTTTATACACTCTCACATAAGTTGTTATGCTGATAATTAAAATAAACATATACGCACTAAAGTATATAGAGGGGTTAAGGTGTTCTATTAAAAAAAAACATCTGAGCCAACACATGACGTAATCATATGAAGTCATATTTCCATGGTTAATTTGAAAATGGGCTCCTCAGGGCAATACTTTCTGGCGTCAGGCTCTTTGAGTTTAGCAACGTAACATGCCTTACTCAGTCATAATTTTATACTGCAGCTTAGATCTAAATGACTGTCCCAACAACACCAGCAGCTTGTTTTGGGACTCATTTAGTTTAAAAATAGAGACTAATAGAGTCTAAAGTGTGTGCGTTTCTTTTTGTGTGCAGATGCTTATTTCTATGCAAGTGCATTTGTTAGTGTGTGTTTCACAAAAGTAAGTACGCTGCCTGGAGCTCAGGGAAACAATAAGGACTGAGTCTTACTATGATGCGGTTCAGACTATTACGTTTATAAGCTGAATCTTACTGAAGGCAGACAGGGTTATAAAACCCTCTGCCACCCGCCAGACCCGGCTGGGCCCCTTTAACATGGTGGAGCCCCAACACTGGCAGGAAAACAACAAACATCAAGAGATGAGGTGAGAAATATGTGTGGGACCACAGCACAGCCCTGGTGGATTCCTGTTAGTCAGAAGTGGTTTGGCAGGGACATGAGAGACACACTGTAGAAACATGGAGGGCGGGAGTTCGCACAATACAGTAAATGCACTCATAGTTTCAAAGGTCACACAGGTTAAAACTGCAGACAACATTTTAAAATAGTTTACTGATCAAGCAGTGCATTTTTTGTAATAATTGAGAATCATAATCATAATCTGGCTACTGATTTTTTAAATTAATCGTGTCCATAGCATTGAGTATTTAAAACAGTAAAGTATTAAATGCTTTGAATGTTTTATATTACTCCTTATAAAATATTTGTTGTCTTTTCAAAACTCAAAACAGTACGATTGTAGTAAAGCGATCAAATCTCAGAAATCATACTGGGAGGGAATAGAATATTCCAAATGATATCCAGCCCTTGCCCTACGCATGTTTAAAGAGGATAACATCATTATACATTCTGAAATGTGTCCATTGTTGGCGACCTAAAGCCATCTGGCCCTGTTTATCCCAGGAAGAGTGAACGGTAGGCTTGTATGACCTGCTCTCCATACGTCTCTCCAGAGAGATCAGTTGCTCCATCCACCCACCCTTTGATCCTCAAAAGACCTCCGGTCCAGTTCAGCCAACCACAACCAGGCTTAGCTGGAAACCTGCCATTGCTCCAGGTGTCTACACAAAGAGAGAAAGAAAACGTGTTCAAAAAGTTGAGCCAAGCTTTCTGCCTGGCTTTATCCTTCACACGGCGATTGCTCATACAATTGCTAAAATCCTGTATCTTTCTCCCATCCTCATATTTTTGTGAGAAAAAAAGTACTATCAGTGATGCTTTGAATAGGAGCCAGAACAAAAGGATACTGGCCTGAATTGAATTATAGTGTCTATATTCCTATATTCACTAACACCTCTTGAAATCAGATGATGTTCTTAAAGAGGTAATTTGATGCCATTAGCCTGCTTCATTTGTTCATGAACAACCCGATCTGTGTCCTCATTATCACCGTAATGAGTCAAAAATTATCCCTAATATCAGAACACTTCATGTTGTCTCACTGGTTGCCTTTGTACTGCTTTCTGAAACATCAAAATGTGACAGAAAGTCTTCTTTTTGAAAATGTAAATTTATTTTTATTGTTGAAATGTTTTCCCCGTTCAGTTTGTATATGTCTAATGTCCCTCTGTTCCCGTCTTTCCTCCAGCATGGCCGCTGTGGCATCCCCAAGCCGCTGGTGCAGCGTTACTCCGAGGACTTGGCGCAGCCTGTGAAGGACGTGGCCTCCACCCTGGACCAGCTCCGAGTCAAAGAGCTCCGTAAACAACAACGCATGGCCGTAAGAGAACAGCACTGATTTTCCAAAAAGACATTTAAATCAATGGAGACTATGTTTAGGAGTTATAAAGTGAGATAAAGTTACGCTTTTATAAGAATTAACAATGAAGACTGGCCAGTTATAACAGCCATTTCCCTCCAGCCAATGATGGCCCCCTGATTGAGAAGCTATCATTATTATGCCTGCTTAAACATTAAACAAGCTGGGTGAGATATACTTTTAAAAGGGAATTATTTATGTATTATGGGTTTTAGTAGACTAATGCTGTCTGAAGACCTAGTAGGTTTATCTTTACCCCATATCGATGGCATGATTTGGCAGAAAAAATCCAAGTTGCCTGAAAAGCTCTAGTCAGTTGGTGGGACAAAACAAATATGTCCTCACCATTTGGCAGCTACAGTTTTCACCTTAGGAGGCTCAAACTAAGCATGAAGGTCAAGTGTTTGTCAAGTTGTGTGTCTGAATGCTTAGATTCATGCACGTACATGGTCGCAGATTTGGTGAATTAATGCTTGTTTACCACTAATCTATATGTATGTTCAGTAAAGTGACAATATCAGAGTAGCTACAGTAACTCATCCCTTTTTACCCCATTTTGTCACTCAGATCCCTTCTGGAGGTTTGACAGAAATGTGCCGGAAGCCTCTGCCCTCAGCTAACATCAGCACAGTTTCTGATTGGCTCACCTCCATCGGCCTCCCCATGTACGCCACACCTCTGGCGGCGGCGGGAATCGACACGCTGAGGGGCGTGGCCTTGTTAACAGAGAGCGGTGTGTGGGATGCGGGGGTGCGAGATGAGAGACACGCCCGCCGCCTGGTCAGTGAGGCCCGATTGGTCGGCTCCCACAGAGAGGGGCAGTCCTAACATGCTTGGATAAAATAACAGGTATCAACTCACTGGTCAGCATCTATTTTTTTTTTTTTTTAAACATGGTCAGTATGCGGCCAAAGACAAATCGGCCACAGGACTCGCAGATCGAACGAGTGACCACAGCATTGCAGTACTTCCTGTCTCGCATGTGTCAAAGACTGAAAGTGAGCCTCCCTGCTCTCTGATTCTCCTCATCACTCTTTTTCTCAAATGTTTACGGCACTGAGGAGATCCTCCTGCAGCCAAGTCAAGATATCAGATGCCTTTTTAAAAGAAGACTGTAGACTCACTCTGTGGGATGGCTTCCTTTCTGAAGACACCCCCAAAGTCTTAAAATAAAGACTTGGATCCGCCTTGAAGGAAGAAAGCACACTCTTTTGTAGGATGGATGTTTTTTAAATACAGAAAGACGTTTTACTTCCTGCATATTTCAAAAGTGCTTCGTTTTCATCTTTTGTGGCGAGGCAACGTTATATGACTGTCTTTTAAGGAAGTAGCTTGGCCAAAGTGATTTACTCCTCATTCAGCGTTTCATTCGCACTAATGGATTCACAATGACAAAATTCACTTAATATCTGGACTTTTATCAACTAAATACATACACCAAACTATGATGAACGGTGGTTTTGAGATGGCTTATTTTGAATCATGTTTCTGTATTATAGCATAACGCATATCTTCATTTTAAAATGATTTATATGTTAAACATTTTGTTTGCCTTTTGAATGTTGCAGCCTTATTTTGAGGCCCGCTCTCAGTCATTCCTAAGCTGAAACCGCTGACATCACAGCTTTATATTTCATATTTTATTAAAAGTCCTATCTCACTGCATATCTTGGATGCACAGCCTGCGCCCGTTTGAATATAAGTCTTCGAGAAAGCTCCAGTAATCACAATCAGCTTTCACAGAAACAAAACATTCCCTGTGTATCCAAGAACGTTTTAAGTTGCCTTACCATTATGAATGAAAAGTTTCATTAACCCTGTATAGTATGGACTATACCACCAGGCTGAACTGCTTAAAGTTCAAGCCTGTTTGCTCTGAATGTGTCACACTCAACCAGATCACTTCAGCCACACATATGGATGTGGAGCACAACACATGCCTCTGATGGATTGTGGTTTCAAAGATCACATGACAATTAAACGACTAAACCCCAGACACGACACACACGTCGTCCCATGCTAAACACACAGTTGGTGTGCATGCTCCATGCAGAGGGTTGTGGGAGAAAATAGAAATGTTCCAAAGAGACGGCTGACATCTCGGCTGTCATATCTGGAATTTATTGGACTGTCTACTCTTTGGTTAAAGTGTTTGATTTATAGCTTGATAATAAGCTGTTTGGGACTTTATTATACTGTAGCTATAGCAAACACATTGAGGATAGATGTAGTTCTATCAGGTGAAAATCTGACCTCTAAGGCCAGCATACACCATTTCGCTAAATAGTTTTGTAAATCAGGGAAACAGTGTCAGGATAGCCTGTTACCTAAAGTTTGGGCTAAAAACAGAAAACAAAAACAACCGGATGTGTATCACTCTTCCATTTCACACTGCATAAAATGGAGCTAACGTGTGTGTTATTTCTATTATTTCTAACAGCAGAGTTCTTTCATACTAAGAACTGACCTGAAGACTTCATATTTAAAATTTGACCAAGTGGTATTGCTAAAATTAGAGGATGTTTTTTTTGCAGTGGGCACTTGATAGGTAGATGTTTGATGCCTTTTATTTCTTCAATCAAAAGTGGTGCTCTGAAAAAGCGTGATTGGGGCTCATTTTTTTAAAAGTAAGAGACTCAAGAAGTGTTTTGTAAAGAATGAAAATACTGACACTGTAAATGCACTTTAGAGGGTAAATCTAGCTGTTTGTAGGCAGAATTGGCTACATTTTGTTCACAGGTCCATTAATGGACAATTGTTGTCAGGTATTTCAAAGGGTTTCAGTAGGATATGCTGGTATTTTATTTTAGTTTTGAGTTCCCAATGCCAAGTTTGCTAACATCCACGGGTTAACCAGTTCCAGTTACTCACTTCCAGTTTATTTTGCAGTCTTGTAAAAATAAATGATTAATTACATATATGAAATGCTTAGCAAAACCTGCACATTCTGTATATGTAATTGATATTTATATAACTTATTTTTGCCTTTTTTTTTCATATTGACTGTAATTAGCTGTACTATATGAATAGCAATACCTTCCTGCAAAATGCATATTGCTTTAGCCAGTGAGGAACTACAGTATGTATTGTAAAATATGTGTACAAATTATTTTATTTGGTTTTCATCTACCTAATGATTGTCCATACAGATTTGCTTGTGTATTGAAACAACAAAAGTAATGTCCATAACTATTTGTCATTCTGAAATATAATAAAAAACTGTTTCTTGCCATACACTGGCCTTCTGATTGTCACACACACACACACACACACACACACACACACACACACACACACAGGTAAAAAAAATACAAAAATACAAGACTCTGAATAACAACTACTGTACTTACTAGACGGTTAAAGCAAGGAGCTCAAAAAAAGCGTTGTCTTGTAATGCATCATTTTAAAAAAACTTCTCACATATGTTCATCGGGACGAAGACAGGAGAGTCTGGTTCGTGTTGAAGAGCAGCTGTTATCAATGAAACCACAAAAAGGATTTTCCAATCTTATTCATGTCAAAAAGCCCCAAATAGGTGGGCACCAGACCGTGAACCCAATTTGATAAAAATGTCCCAACAGACTGCCTCTGAGATTGAACTCTCATAACTCCTCTCTATGCTGGTGTTTGGCATTCTTCTGAGTGGAAACAAACACAACTGAACAAGCATTTATTTCAGGAAGAAAAGCAACAAAACTTGTTTATTGGGTCGTCCTTGGTTAGTAACTTTTTAGAAAGCAGCCGCTGAGCAATAATTGTCCTTCACACAGATGTAATGTGCGGTTAGCTTCCACTTCACTCCAACAGATACAATTGCTCATCCATTTTAAACTTTCTCAGGAGGAAAGGACGAGACCGTAATGCAATGAAGGCTTTCAGGCTCGGGTTTATTCACATTACTCTGAACCGTTTTCCTCTGCGGCGTTCATGCACGGCTTCATTTGTGTCCGTATACAATCGATGATGAGAATCTGCTGTGGGATCACAATATTTAGAAGCAAAGATATTCAGAATGAATTTTAATATTCCTTCAATAAATCAAACAATCAGTTTTGAGCGTTTGTGTCAGGATCATTATTTCATAATTATTAGCTGGCACAGAAGAGTGAACATATTCATTATGATGCCAATGATTCCTCACCAGTAAAGGTGAGTCACACTTTTATTGATTCTTATTGGGACATTCACTTGCTACTAATTTCCCTCGAGAGAGATCTGAAGTCACTTAAGGAGTTCCTCTAAAAGTTTGTGATGTTGAAGTCTGACTTAAGTTTGACGGCAAATCCAAATATGTGAATTTGTAGCCCCCATGTTTATTCCCCTTGCACACGATCCTATTGATTTTCACTATGCAAGGCTAAACTCATTTAAGTGAGCGCAGTGGGCCATGCTCAAATGTGTGATTGTCCTGCCAAAATGAAGTTATTTTCTCCCCTTCTACTACTACTTTTACAATAATAATGTTTACCCTAGTATGACGTTAGCAGAGTGCACACAACCTTAGTAATAACAGGTGGGTAGAATTTAATGTCAGAGTTTGTGCATGCTTCCTTCAGGTGCTTCGCTTTTTTTCCACAGTCAAAATAAAGGTAAAATGACACCAGAAATACAAAACAATGTAGTCCCACTGCCAGTAGTTCTAAACCTGGTTTACAACAGCGACCTTACTGACATCCTTACTGTGTAATAAACTGCTGTGCTGCAGGGGAGATTGGGCCATAAACCCATAATGAATTCACACTTTTTCTGCCTAGCTTGGAAAATACTCTACTCCTACGATTCACAGATCCTTTACCTGAGGAAGATCTGAGGCAATGGGCCCATCGTAGAATGAATGTGCTCTTTAATACATTTAGTTTTTTAAGCCAAAGTGTTTCTCACAGTCGTTGTTGCTCCGTATCCGTCACCAGTGAAAGTCTCAGGCGAGGTTGTTATTGTGTTGAATGACGGTTGTCTGTCGCCTAAGTGCAGTTGTAGTCTAATGGTGGGTTCTGGCCCCTGCTGTGGAAAAATATATGGCTCAGTGTTCCTTACAGCTGGCCTCAGGGGAAGGAGAACACACACAGAGAAGTGAGCAGATACTGATCTCGCCTTCTTTTCAACACATCAAAGATATACGCCCGTATCTAATGTAGTAACACAGCCTGTTCCATTTTATAATAACCACAGGAAATAGGTCACTGTGGCGTTTCTATTAACAATGAAGACATTTCAATATCATGTCATATTTCAAAATCATTAATAAACTACTACAGACTTGTATTGTCATCATATTGTCGAGGCTTTGGTTAAGGATAAGGCTAAATGAAACTTCCACTTCACTGAAATGAAACTTGTAAATTCGCAGAACTCTTTCCACAGTCTCCTATCAGTCTCTTGGCTGCTACAAATCAAACTCGTTTCAATTAATGCCCACCGACTACTTGCCCCCTCCCTCCCCGAACACTGGGTGACGCTGTTTTACGCACTTGATTCCAAACCAAATCTTGTATGAGGTGGAAGTTTTTCCTCTTTCCACGTTCAGTAATCTGACACCCAAAAGACTCTGAGCAGAAGGATGGACCCTTAACTCGGCTGGAAGCACGGAAGGAAGGAACACTTATCCAACGAGGGCAAACGAGAGGGACCGAGCAGAAGCGAAACGCTGTGCGCAGAAAACAACCCCGTGGCTGCGGCAGCTGAGGAGAGCCTGCGCGTCTCCAAAACAACTGGCCGTCCGACTCAAATGCTCTCTAAGCGACAAGTTTCACTTTCCACATGCGGATGGGTGACTTTTCACGGCACTTTGTGAGGAGGAGATGATGAAGAATTTCAGCAGCAGTTCCCTTCACAGCAACAACAACCAGACTCCCAACCACGTTAGAGAGCGAAACAACAGAAAGTACAGCTTACTCTCTGCCCTACCGCTGCGATTTTCCTTGCGAGGTTATGGTTTCTGCATGGCTACGCTGTTCCTCTTCTGTTTCGCCTCTCTGTTTTACCAGCTGAACGGAGGACCCCCAAAAATCCTGCTGGACATCCGACAGTATCTCGGTAAGAACTTTTCATTTTCCTCTGCTGGCTTAAGCGCGTCATCAAAGATAGTTTTTTTAATAGAAGTTGCACTGAAAGTCTACACGTCCTGCTTCGGTTAGATCTTTAAATTAAAGTTGATCCAAAAAGAAAAGAGGATTATCAACGTTTGAACCTCTCGCTGGCTTCTGGGAAAAAGTCTCTTTTGTGAATGCAACCGGAGGCTAAGTGTCCCAGCGACCCCATTTACCTCAAAGTTAATTTATTTTCATCATTCATAACCCTTAAACCACAAAGTTGCTCCAAGCGAACCTAATTTAGACGCATTCAACTAAATGCGGAAATACTTATATTTGAATGTGCACAGCTGTCTCTGTTTTTAAAATGTAATATCCCTCCGTTCTTTAAAAGTCCACTAATTCACACTAAAAACCTAAAGGAATGCACTCCTCTTTGCAACATTTGGATATCAGTTCTGACTTGTCCGAGGTAGATTGGGATCTATTATGGTAACAAGAATTTAGCAACTGCAAAGATTCATACTGTATGTGGATTATGACTGACACCTCTTCTTGTACAGCCAGCTGATGCGCTCCAGCCACACGGCGCTCATTACGCACGACTGGCACCGGTGGAACAAGCGCAACAGTGTTCTAAAGGCTAAATGTATGCTGGTGTTTTAGTAGAGGAGAAAATGCTATGACTTGGACTTGATTGATAAGATAATTGATACAGTAAAGGGAATGTGGAGTTGTCTGTTCTGATATGATTCATATCAAATACATTTCAAATAACTACCCTGAAGGGAATACTTGAGATCACACAAAATGATATTTCCCTAGATATGACTTGGCACTTATATTACTATCATTATGCTTTACCAAGTGATAACAAGAAGACACGATAAGACATATGACAGCTCTGTTCTGATGTCAGGCTGGATTAGATATATCAATATTTTAAGTGTGTGTGTGTGTGTGTGTGTGTGTGTGTGTGTGTGTGTGTGTGTGTGTGTGTGTGTGTGTGTGTTGTGTGTGTGTGTGTTGTGTGTGTGTGTGTGTGTGTGTTGTGTGTGTGTGTGTGTGTGTGTGTGTGTGTGTGTGTGTGTGTGTGTGTGTGTGTGTGTGTGTGTGTGTGTGTGTGTGTGTGTGTGTGTGTGTGTGTGTGTGTGTGTGTGTGTGTGTGTGGTGTGTGGTGTGTGGTGTGTGTGTGGTGTGTGTGTGTGTGTGTGTGTGTGTGTGTGTGTGTGTGTGTGTGTGTGGTGTGTGTGTGTGTGTGTGTGTGTGTGTGTGTGTGTGTGTGTGTGTGTGTGTGTGTGTGTGTGTGTGTGTGTGTGTGTGTGTGTGTGTGTGTGTGTGTGTGTGTGGCTGATACACTTCTTATCGACATGTCTGTCTGTCACTGCTACAACTCGGGATGCAGCTGGGACATGTGTTTGTGTGTTGAAAGGAGTTTGTGTTCCTACCTATTTCTCGCAGAGGGCTTGAGGCTTTATGACGTGATAAACATCTGGAACAGAATAAGAGTCACTCACCAAGTCAGCCACTAATCTCGTGGGTCAGATTGGTTTCCTGTGGACACACACACGCTTGCACACATCAGCTGTCAGAAAATCATTGTGATTTGGTCAAGTGTTGCAAAACAAACACATACATTTGCCATATGTAGAATTTAAAGTACAGGAACAATGTTTTTTTAAATAATGTGCTGAACAAATTGAAAGCCAGTTTTAAAGCTTTATTTTAATCTAAAAATGCAGCGTTAGTGCCCGTGCAGACTCTATATACACACTGAAGCATAGTCACTCCAAAGAATCATTGCAGCCCTAAATGTGATTTAGATGTTGCAGCAGTCAATACAATACATTATTAATTTTCAGTAATTTCCAAAAGCCACTGTAATGGGCACAGTGACTGCTGTAATTTATCTTACACTTATTCCCTCACTAAGAAGCACTCTGCTTCTAAGAATGCTCTGCAACCTAAAGGTACACACACACACACACACACACACACACACACACACACACAAGTTATAAGTTGAATCTCAAACCCCTTATCATACAGGATAAAGCAAAAATATGTACTATTAGCACAACCAGACCAGCAAACAGATGCAGACAAATCTAATATTTACACCGTCATAATTCAGCATGTAGGCCATGAGAGCAGCGAGCCCCTCTATTAAAAGATGAATGAGTGGGCCCACCTGCATGACGTGATCTTGACTGGAGCACAGAGACCCTAAGGGCCTGAGCCTGTCTCACACACTGACTCCTCTATACTCTATTGACCTCAGGGGGGGGGTACTTATGTAACAGTGACACAAACACACTGTAGCACCTCCGTCAGGGTCATGGTGAGTAATCTTCTCTGCTCATTACGATGATGGGGCGAGGAGAAAGTGCTTTGTTCCACAATCTGAAGACGGCTAGTGGATAAATGACACGTTAAAGTGATTAATAAGTCGTATTTGCTTTATGTATGATCATTTTTTAAGTGGGATTTATATGACTGTTGAGGTAAAACTTGTTGTGTTGTTTTCAGAGAAGTAATTCATGTTGTACGGGAGAAGAGAAGTAGAGGGAACTTTAGATCCATAGGCTTCAGATGTAGTCTTGGGTAGAACATCAAGACATCTGGTTGAAAGGAAGGAAGAGCTTCCTGTGCAGAATATTCTTATGTTTTGAACTGGTTTGAAGGAAAGTTATTTGGGCATAGAAATGAATGTTCCACAGGTTTTTTCTCTGTCACCCTTACCCCCATCAATTACAGAGTCTCTCTTCCAGTCTTCAATCTACTTTTTTTCTGTCCAGTCATGGATGGGACAGAGTAACAGGTTGTGAAAGAAGGGAACTGAAAACTCCAGCCCACAAACTGGAATTGGAAACTGGAACTAACGAGAAAAAGACGGGAGATGAATGCCTTTTGATAACTGCTTGTGTGTGACGGGGAATCTAACTGCAAGTTTTGAGCATCTATACTTGTGTTACTTGTGACTGCACTGTGCCAAGATGAATGTGAAGGTTCCTGGTGGTGTAAGTTAATGTGGCCGTGGGTGTGTACGGGAAAGAGAATAGTTCATTTTGTGTGAGTGTGTGTGCATGTGCATTTTGCATGTGTGTGTTTCAGTCCAACGCTCTTTAGAGGGGAACAGACTCTGTTTTGTTTGGGCCAGCGGGGAGGTTGGTGTTTGAGCGTGTCACTCAGCGTTTAACTGCAGAAACTCAAACGTGGGTCCCGGGTCGATTGCCTGTCATGGACTCTCTCACACTTTCTTAATCTCCTTTCACTATTACCTTTACCAATCCAGCAACCTTGCCAAAAACCCTATGAGTGCTGTGTCTGTCTTGCAATATTGTGTGTGACTTTATGTGGGAACCCAAATCACACCTGACTGTGTAGCAGATTCTTGAGAAGCTCCAAGTTCTGTTTTTGAAGTGGATAATTATTTCTACCACTGTTGGCCACCCTGACTGTGACTAAGTGATTAGTAGTCATTTCTGGACTCTGTATATGGTCTCAATTGGCCCCAGTTTGGTTAAAATGCAACATATTTAGAGTGAAATATGAAAGGATTTAGCAAAGACTCGCCCATTCAAGAGTTTGAAGCCATGGAGCCAGCTTTAGCTGTTTTCAATATTGCACGTCATCCTCTTGTAGTTCTTCAGAGCCAAGAGAGCCAAACAGTCGAAGGATCGTTCTCTGTTCTCTTAAATCTCCTAGTTATTGAGATGGATCTTTCTGGTTTAGCCAGGATATAGTGTGCCGAAACCCTCCATGTGAACACATGTAATGTACTTTCGAGGACTCTTAAGGACACAGGCCTTGCTCTGTGTTTGTACGGTTCATGATCCTCCCTACATGATTCATTAACACGTTAAAAACCATAAAATACTCACACAAATTAATTGAACTTCCAGTAGGACTCAGATGAGGGTGTTGCACTTTTCTTTTCCTTATACATGTGATGTTTTTTGTTGTTTTGTTTCTTTCCGTTAACCGTCAAGTAGGAAATAAGTATTTTTTTGTGTTTCTCTTAGTATCCTAAGATACTGTTATGCTTGGCTGTGAAAAAAAAAAAAAATTATTATGAAGGGCAGACCATCTATTTGTATTTATTTTGTTTTTTTTAGAAAGGGGCAGGTCACATAAGATTGTATTCTTGTCACTGCTCCTTTTCGCTCAATGGTGTTTTAGTCATGTTTTGTTGGCAATTATTGTACATTTGGTTTTGCGTACCATGAGCGAGACAAATAAAAATGAAATGAAATTAAACGTGTCAGTAACTGTCCAGGGAAGTGTTGAGGATTAGACAGGTATGTGTGGACACAGAGGGAGCCTCTCTCCTCCCTTCAGTTTCTGTTTAATTAACAGTATTGCTGGCCAGTAAGTGAATGAAAACCAACTATGAATTCAAATAAAGTATAGTGGTATAATTGGGTATGAGTCGTGATTTTAAATAAACTTTACACTCAGAAGAAAGTGTGGGGAGTAATACAGAGAGGGAACGTGAAAGGTTGCTTGCTGTGAGCTTGATGTGGACAATGCAAAGTGCTTCAGTGATGCTGTACACTTTGCTAATTACAAGTTCTGATTGGATAGACACTGACATGTTTGAGTTTAAACTCTTCAAAACTGCTAGACACGCTGGAGGGACCATTCATTCAGACTAGCTTGAATATATAATCAAAAGCCAAAGTTCTGAAATATGTTACATTGAACCATGTGTGTAGAATACAGTATATTTGATGTGCTATTGCGACCACATGTTATACTTATTCAATAACAACGTTCATCAATGTCTTCATGAAGCAAATACTATTGCCTTGAAGTAATGAAAAAGCATTAAGCAACTTGAAGGAAAAATGAAAGATAAATATCCTCTCATCACATTGTGGTAGATAAAATATCTCCTTTCTTAGATCATAACTCACTTGTTTTTTGAAGAGAGTGACACACAAACTTCACTTAAGCAAAACAGCTTTGTTAAGCGAGGCTAACATTGAAGTGTGATTTTTG